CTGTCAGGTATCTATTGCTGCATAACAAACCACCCTGAAACTTAGTGGTTTCAAACAACCACCTTGGCTCACACTTCTGTAGTCAGCCATTAGGGCTGGGTTCAGCTGGGTGGCTCTTCTGCTGGACTTAGCAGGGCTTACTCAGGCATCTGTGAGCAGCAGCCAGGCAGCTGGCAGCTCTGCTTCTGGAGAACGAGCAGGTGGATGCAGCAGGCGTGAGGCTGACCTCAGATGAAATTAAAACCATTGATGGGTTAATGTGTCACTTCTGGGCAGAAGAAGACGAAAGATCATAGTTCTCTACTCTTTCTCTTTCTCTGCTGTAGCAATCCTGGAAGGCTTGAGTTAAGATGGTGATGTCATTAAGATTTGAAGACCCCGTCAGCATGGACCTCTGAGTCACTGAGAAGAGCAAAGTCCCCTATAACCTACATTGAACATATTGCATGAAGAGAAAATAAACTTGTGTTTGAAGCGTTGGGGGCTGTTTGTCACTGCAGCAGAACCCAGCCCACCCTGACTCATCAGGTTTCAATAAAGAGAGATTGTTCCCTAAACCCTTGGCCTCTTCCCCATGCTTTACTCCTTTCCATGGAAGAGGGGTGACTTCTCTGATTGACCAATTTCTCCCCAAACAGGGATTAAGGCCATAGATCTCAGTTCCTTCCCTCCATTCTCATTCTTTTGGAAGTGCCTGTCTGCAGACTGGTCCTCTCTCAGCCATGAGGTCAGCACAGAGTTCAAGGCTCTGCCCCAGCAGGGGGAGTTGCCAGCACTTCCTGAGCCTGAATCTGGGATTCTGAATTGAGAAGCCCATTGTGGCCACACACCTAAGTGACATCTTCCAATCAAGCCCAATATCAGTAACAAGATCATGTTGCAGTCCCCGTGCACTGACTCCTCTGTCTGCCTCTAGTTCAGAACTTATGAGGGAAGACAGGAGTGTCCTCACACCCCTATTATCCTATTATCCAGCCCATCACTTACTACAAAGGACTCAAGTCCCAAACACCTGTTACTCCTCGGGCACAAATATAAAAACTCAATGGTAAACTGCAAATCTGATGCCTGGGAGACTTTTCGCAAAATCCTTGGTGATAGCTTAGTGAGTTCTGATGCGGGGTTTCTTAGCACTACAGATATTTTGGACCAGACAGTTCTCTGATGCGGGGGCCCTCCTGGCCACTGCAGGACGGTGAGCAGCATCCCCTGCCTCTGTGTGCTAGATGCCAGGAGCAACCTCCCTCTCCAGTGGTGACAACCAGAATGTCTCCAGACGTTACAAAGTGTGCCCGAGGGGGCAAAATCACCCTCCCCTAGCTGAGAACCACGTTGTAGCTGATCTGATCCAGTTATTCAACAATGGCCTGGAGGAAAGTCTGGTTGTCTGGGGAGACTTCTGGAAGGTGAAAGGATTGAACCTCACGAAGGGAAGGGAGATGTCATGGTTCTAGGAAAGGGAGAGTGCACAAAGAAGGGCTTGGAGGCATGCGCTGGCAGGGGAGCGGGAGGATGGCACAAACAACAGCTGGAACGATTAAATAGCCAACCTACAAGATGAGCCAGAACCAACTCTGGCACGCGTTGCACGAAGAGTAAGCATTCGCTGATATCATCAGAGTGGAATCTCTCCTCAAGTTCAAAACCTGACACTGGCTTCCAGTAAGTCACCATTATCGATTCTGGTGTCATTCCTTGGCGTTTAACACCGTCAGCCAACACCTTGTGGTTTCTTTCCCCTTCACTGGGAAAGGTAAGACTGGGAGAGGGGGACGGAAGGGATTCATTCGTAATGAACAAAATGCCAGCAGTTTCACGACAAACAGGATCCAACGGGACCAGGACCACCTGGGGAGGATTGGCTTGAGCACGGAGGTGCAGCATTTAAAATTTTGAGGATTTGTTTGTTCATCATGGATGTTTTTGCATTAATTTTGAAAGAACGTTGTATTAAATTATTGTTTGATTACTGATGTGCTCCCCCCTAAACTTTGTGCCCAGGTGAGTGCCCTGCGTGGGAGGGGGGAGGGCTGCATGTCCAGTAGGGGAATCTAGCAGAGAAGCTTCCACAGGCTTCTGTTCCCAACTCACCTTCAGGTACCCCTCAGAGAAAACAGCAACAAAAGATTTCTGTCTGAATTCTCTAATGCCCCAAATATCCCTTTACCAAACTGTGGTGAGAGCTCTCCTAGGGTCAACTTTCACAAGCCTCAGGGATCGAGGGGGGGCCTGGTGAATGTTCACCCAACCTGGTATTTACAGGGAGAAATTAATTATAAAATAGAATGACATTTTAATTTTTATTTCCTCGACCAAGAGGAAGCTGTCACAAATAAGCCTTGCAAAGAGTTAGGGTAGTTAGGGTTTTTCCGCCCGGCTTTGTGGGGGGTGGGGGGTGGGGGTGGAGGTCCAAACCAGAGTTCCATCGAGGAGAGGATGGACGCCCCCTGCTGGCACCAAAGGCAAATTGCTCTTTCCCTAGAAATTCTGCACACATTTGCAAAGCAAGCCCTTCCATGTTTAACAGATCTGTTCCAAAGTGAAACAGAGCATGGGAACAGGACGAGGCAACAATTCCTCTTGAATGGGGGTCATTTAAAGATCTTTTCAAAGGAAAAAAATTTTTTTAAATGATACACCTTGCTGGTGGTGGTCTGTCAATAGATAAAATTGCTGCTGCAGGGCGGTTGGCAATAGCCACCCAAATTGTCAATGGGTGTCCCGCATCCTTGACTTGGTGTTTCTTTCCGAGGTAGTGGTTTGTCCAACAGATGCTCTCACAAGGACCTGGGGCGCAGCAAAGGCAGGTGGCCTGCTGGAGGTGAACCTTCGGGGCGGGGTGGAGAGTTAGCTAAAACTCCAGTTCTGCTGGCACCAAAGCAAGTAGGAAGCAAAGGCCTGGTCGCTGTCGAAGGGAATCTGGTAGGAAGAATGAGCAGGGTTTTGAAGAGAATAGTATGTCCTGAAGGAGGCCAGAAACAGGAAGTAAAACTTTAAACTGAAAGGGAGACGACAGGGAGGTATTTATTCGGCCTTTGAAGTATTTATTGAATGGAATGATTTCTGACTATGTAGCTATAAACTTGATATTATAGTTAAAATAGTATAGTTTTGAGGAATTTTTTTCCACTTGACTTGTACTAAATGTTAGGTGTTTTATGGAGGTATTGCCCTGAAGTCTCTGTCACTGAAAAAAATTGGGCCACACCTGGGTTGACAAAATGCTCGCACTGGGGTTTTAGAAGCAAAGTTAGTACTTTGCACTGAGCAGCCGTGTTGTCCCCTGTACCTCAGTGGAATCCAAATTTAAAAGAATGTCGTGTCTTCTTCTGGTAGCCTTAGAAACTCTTACTGTAAGGATATGCTAGTGTTTGTTTTTCCCAGTTAGCCCGAAACTCAAGACTGTGCCTCCAACACCCTCTTTAAAATTTATTTCCAAATACCACCCAAGATGTACCCCTCAGACCAAATTTCCCTGTAATACGTAATCCTGAACATCAGGCTGAAATGGGAGCCAGATCCCCCAACTCTCTGTTTAATGCCAGAGAAGCAGATGCCCAGATGGCCATGGGACATGAGACCAGGTGGTCATCTTCAAAACCAGGAATTCCAATTCTAAAACTGCTCCGAGTGGTTTTATGTTCCGTTCCTCAGCTTCATGAATCAGGACTCAATCTCTTGTGAGCAAAGCAAATTGATTGACAACTGCAAAGAACAAACGGCTGGAATAATTAGCTATCTCATCTGATGCAATATTAGAGTTAGATGTCTTCTCACTGTGTTCTGGGCTCCCTGAGAGCAAAGACTGTATCTTTGCTCTTTAGCATGGGGCCTTGCTCTGTTCGAGAAATAGTAATAGTGTCTCCTACGTGGGACTTACTATGTATTTGTCAGACACTGTTCTAAGCACTTCATGTACATTGACTCATGTAATACTCATAACAACCTGATTACTTTTTACCGAGAAGCTAACTGGAGCACAGAGAGATTAAGTAACTTCCCCAAGGCCACACAAACCACAAGCAGTGGAACCCCAGGTAGCCTAACTCTAAAATCTACTCTCTTAGCCATGGGACCAATGGTTCCTAAACTTGTCTGCACACCAGAGTCACCCAGGGAGCTTTAAAAATACACGCCAGGGATCGGGATTTAATTGGTCTTTGGTGTGGTCTGGGCTTTGGAATTTTTAAAAGGTCTTCCAGTTAGTCTAATGTGCAGAAAAGTTTAGAGAACCAGCGCAGCCCTGCCTCATGCCCTAGCACGTTTGCTGAATGTAATTTGCTCCATGTGGAACTGCTTTCAGGAATATAAACAAGCTCAGGAGAGGGGGGGAAAAGATTCTACCTCAAGCAACAACGAATTATCTTGGGTGCAGCTGACTGTAATTCCAATAGAGTATGTAAGGACATGGGTCTGGGTCAGACTTTCTTGGATTCAGATTCTAAATTGGCTGGTTACAGGCTGCAGGTGGCAGAGTCTGGCTGAGTAGCCTTCCTGGGCACACAGGTGGACGCCATTATCCAGGGTCCCTTGAAGTTGGCTGTGACCATGTAACAGATTTCTGACCAACAGAATGTGGGCAAAAGTGGAGGGGGGGGAGAGAAAGGGGAAAAAAAAAAAACAAGAAAAAGAAAAGAAAGAAGTGCTTTCATGGCCAGGACTGGGAGAGGCAAACATTTTTGGTTTGTCCAGTATTTATCTAGCTCTGTAAGACCCAAACTATGAGACAAATTTGCCACATTGAATATTGCAGGGATAACTAACATAGTGATTTTCATCCAAAAGGGGGGAAGTGGCAGATTTTAATATTATAGACACTATATATCTCAGAAAATGGTAGCAGACACGGTGTTGCCATCAGAAGTACCAGGGCCATAGGAATATCATTTCCCAAAAACAGAGTCTGAAACAGATCTTCTACTCGTACCCACCCCCAAAAAGTATCTTATACAGGCGTCGGGAACAGTTCTTGGTGAAAGATAATGGTTTTTAAGGCAAAATCCAAAGAGTGAATATTTTAATTTTCTTCTAGGTATTCTTATTTTCACATTTTAAATAGTCACACTAACAAGTTACATTTCCACAAAAATACTTGTACAGCATCAGTATTCTTAAAGTATTCACATCCATAATTTGCCATAATTAGGAAAATTAGGAAACAATGACAGTCAATGTATACACATATGTTCTTTTACCTGTAGTGAGATAAATTCAACGTCTAAAACAAGTCAGGATGAATCAACATAAAAGCTGAACTAGACGTCCCTACCAAATTTCTCAGGGAAAAAGCAAATAGTCCTGTGTGACAAGCAAGTTATACAAACAGTGCAAGACAAATCCAACTAGAAATTGGAAGCTGCCATTTCATATATACAAAATACACGTGAAACAGCAAAGTAAACATTTTTTAAAGAGACGGGCTGTTATTTCAACCACTCGGGGCATTAGAGACATGATTGAGCCAGCTGACATCACATTTCTCGTCTCTTGAAATACAGCAGACAGCACTCTGGTGCTTACTAGGAAACGACATGCTTGCAACCAAGGGGCCAACAATTGCCATAGGAGGCCAAAGAATCCCTCTAACACCTACATTTACAAAAACTGATGACATTTCAAAATATAAATTGTTGAAACTAACTTAAATTTCTCATCCCCAAAAGGGCCTATCATGGCAGTGTGTCGGAATGATTTTTCTATCTCTGACTTGCAGGCACTATGACAAAAAGAAAATACTTCAAAACTGGCTGATTTGCAACAGTATAATGAATGTCTACTAAAGGAAGCAGAGTGCCTAGCATGATCCTGAAAATGTTCAAATAAAAATAAGTTGGCATTAAAGCACTGTTATTCTTATATGAAAAAAGTGACTATCTCCCAGTAAACAAAAATATTTCCTGATAATGAAAAGGAAATGTTTTTTCCATCATTACCTATATATGATATAAATAATTTTCCTTTTTAACATAAGACTCAAAAATTTATATTTGATATATTCTGATACCAATTGGTATGTCTAGTTGATGCATTTGCAGATACAAAAGAATATCACACTCTGTGTTTGCACAGTCCATTTCAAGGAGCTTAAAGAACTTGATAGACATTCTCTCTGATGTCTTAACTAGGTCCAGAGGAAGTGAAGGGACCTGGGGGAGAGGAGCTCAGAGCCCCACCACACCCCTGCTGTTCTGTGGAATTATACTCACTGCAGGTCTAAGAACATTGATGCAAAGCAAAGGTGAGTAATTTCTCTTAAGCCAAGTCACACAGCTTGTTACATATGTAAAATTTAAATTAATGTTAAGACCATTAATAGTTAATCCTGAAGCCATTCAGTGCAATTGTGGATTCCTCATTTAAAATCACCGTTTTAAAATTCAACTCTGCCTGTCGTCTCTCCACTCTGGCAAGGGTGCGCACGGGGCACGGGCCCCAGGTGGAACGATGCTTGAGTGACGGGCGATGCCTGTGGACAGGCAGCCTCTGCAGGAGCAGAAACAGCTGTTCGGACTTTTTGAAGCTAAACAAAGGCACTAAACCTACAGAACAGTTTTAAAAAGAGATGGTTAAAAAGTAAGTCCCTGAAAGCTTTTCTATAAGCTTTGAAAAGCAACACATGGAAGGAGGCAGGAAGCACTGGTTTTTTAGTATTCTGCCATCTTAGGCACATTGCTACTTAGAATTTTCTTCTTAAAGTGAATTCTGCCTTATAAAAATATTGATGTCAAATATATATTCTTAAGTGAGGATCCAAATTGTACCCAAACTTCATTAAAAGGAAAGTCTATTGCTATGATGTCTAGAAGAAACATTGTGTTTTATCTATCCTACTAGGCAACGTTCAGTGGACCTTCTGCTTGTAAATTAACGGCAATCTAGGGGTAGACAGGAAGGGAAAACCAGGGGTTCCGAATCTGCCCTGTTGGAGATGGAGACATCGCTATGGCCACGGCTGCCTATCTCCTTGTGATATGAAGTGGTTTTAACGTGCTGATAACCCTGTGGGTTCAGAAACTCGCTGGCAGACCTCAATCGAGCTTGCCTCCTGGACTCCTCGGAGAGATAACCATAAAGACTCAGTGTAGCAACAAGTGGACCTGTGCCGTCTACTCCAGTCATCAAAGTCCAGCCACACAGGCACGTGGCAGCTCAGAAATGTATCACTTGGAGACATCCCAGATCTACAGCAGCCAATGGCTGCTGTGTGTGTGATGTGACCAGAGTGCTCTCACTGGAAAATCGCACCTGTCTGAGGCGCCACAGGTCTGGGACCCTCTACAGAGCATTACACCACATACCATCATTCTCACACACACATGCACGGCCTACTCATCCAAAAATCCCCACTGCGCTTTGTTGTAAGAAACCCTCTCATTTATCCACAGGGTCACTGAGGCTTAGAGCGATTAGCTGTCTTGGCCAAGTCATCCATGTATTAATTCACAAATCTGGCAACCCAAGGATTCTTCCAACACTCTTTTTACTGTGTCATTGTAACACAAAAGTTAGACACTGTAAAAAAATTAAGGATATAATAATGTAGAAGTGTTCAAATATAGATAATTCCTTACAAACATCTTAAGTAAAGAGTATCTTGGCTAAACAGACCCTTGGGAATAAATCTTTCTTAGACACAGGATTCTATTCCCAATGATTCTATCGACAACAGGCATAGGAGGGCAGAAGAGAGAAAGAACCATGGAGATCACATTATAAAGATATATGTTTAAATGGGGTTCATGAATAATTTGTTTAAAGGGTCCATCCATTCACAATTTGGAGTGCAAAGAAAAGGACAACTATTTCTCTCTATACTATATCTAATTGAACGTTAAGTATAACTATGAAAAATATTTTCAAAGAGATTAAAAATTTTAAGCTTGATCAAGTGTTTTTCAATTTGATTAATCATACTCAGGTAACACACACAGCATGTTTCATTATAAAAGCAAATGGAGAATACTGGAATCCATGAACAGGGTTGGTCCGAATGTGCCCCAGAAGCGAGATGAACTCTCACTATAATAAACCTGTTAGTATTTAGTCAGGACCACCCTCTATATGGACTCCATTTAATAGGAACCAAGTAACAAAGTAACATGATTCTTAAACAGGTGCTTATTCTAAGGATGGCCTTACTAAGTTTTTTTGCAATAAAAAGGAAATAAAACAAAACTAAAATTAGATGCTATGTAACACTACTTTTATAAATTCTAGATGTTTGGGTTTTTTACATTGCTTTCCTGCTTAGAAAATTTTGAGAATAAACTTAATTGAACTTCATTTTTCCAAACCCCAAACTCAAATGCAGTTTTTAAATCCAAATTCACCTCAATGATATTCCCTCGCTTTTGAAAATGAGAAGTCATATCATGCAACTTTAAACAGTGAATAAATACAAAGTTCCACATTTTCTTCCTGCTAGAATAATCTAAAGTCAGGGTTTGAGAACAACTCCCCATCACTCGGGTAATGATTTACTTGATATTAACCAAAATCAATTTTGATAAAGTCTTCCCAAGTATCTTGGGATAAATCATAGTATTGCATCTATGAATATGCTCTTAAAAAAGCAAAATATTCATGGAAGCATAAAACAATTTTACCTTTAAATAAAAATACTTTATTCATTCCTGACAGGTTATCAAAATGTACATTGTTAACCAAGTAAAAATGGTACGTCAAAATAGTTGACTAGGGCATATTTGGAGGATTTTTGTTTAATTTTAAAAGAGTAAAAACCATTTCCAATCTCCCCTTCCACATTCCTAACAAGCTTGCACTATCTGCTTAAAATTGAACATACAAACAATTACATGGGCCCCAGTTCACTACAGAATGCACATTTTCATTTACACTTAAAATAAAGAAGCTATTACATTTAGGTTACTTTCCTTTGTCAAAAACTTTCAGACAAGTTTACTCCTCTTTATATTTTGTATAACTGTAAATCATATGAAGAATATAGCACATGACTTGTATTAATCTAAACACACACACACACACACACACACACAGGATAAAGTGCAACACAACAGAACATGTCTGTGACATTCACTTTCTCAAACCCCACAGAAGGATTTTCTGAGTAAATGGAAACAATGTCATCCTCAAGTGCATGAACACTAAATCCAACAGAGTAGGTTATTTTTTTCACACTGATATTATATTGAAAATCCTATTTTGTTTTGCTTCCCTGTGGCCTTTTTCTCTCATTCTCAATGAAAGTTTAGGGGCTGTAATTCTTTCTGCACCTTGAGAAAAATCACCTCCACAAAGTTACACATACAGTGTTAAAAGGAGGTTTCCAATGATATCTGTAACAAGGAGAATTATAGTCATCCTAATAAAAGTGAGCATTCCACTAACTTGGCAGCAAATGCTTTAAGGACCTTTGACACTAGCCACCAAACATTTCTACAGGCAAGTACCAAACTAGCCCTAAAATGGCAGAAGTTTTTGGTTGCATGTTATTTTGACATTAAATTATTTAACTAAAAATGCTTTTGTTCCTGAGATGAGCACAATAAAATTAAATGAGTTTCCTCTAAAGCTGCGCGGGGACGCTACGCTCCCTATCTGCGCTCTCATCATCTTCACAAAGAGTCCTGTTTGAGACGTCAGTCTTCTCCATGGCGCCATTTCTGTGATTCGTCTTGCCGGACATCTGGTCTGATTTGGTTTCTCATGCCACCTAACACGTTTGACGTTGCTTCCGTGGCAACAATCAGAGGTTTCACCACTGCCGGAGGAATCTGGCGCAGAACTTCACCCACAGCACCAGTGACCCCTCTGCTCTCGTGCTCTCGAGCCGCCGTTTCATAGATGGTCTGAGCCGTGTCTGTGATTCCCTGCAGAGGGGGTGGGGGAGGGGAGGAAGTTACTGGTCAGGAAACTCTCCACGTTATCCTATAATACACACTTTTAGTACAGTTCATCAACACTATGTTTGTAACTAGATGAAAAACACTATGCTTTTGAAGTAACCCAGTATAATTATTTTTATGAGAAAACTCTAATTGTAAAGGAAAGAGGCAATTACTATGATTTAGTATTTTGTTGTGACACTGGTGTGTAGAAAATGTAGCTAAACTACAATTTCATATAGGGAAGATTACAGAAATATTTAATGATCCAAGAGTAGCTTTGCTGGCACTATTAATCAATTCCAGTTAAATCAAACTTAGCAAACAAAACTTCCTGAATAAATATACTCACTGAAGAAATAGTGATAGCTCCCTTTGATTCAACACAAGAAAACTGAACTCTACTAAACTCTAGGAAATTATTTAATTTGTTTTAAACTACTGGCTATTTATTAGAAAAAGTAACTGTACCATTCAATTAAGATAAAAGCTAAATAGAACATTTCACTAGATTATATAGAAAATTCTGAGAATAAAGGCAGGAGCATGTTTAATAATTAGAAACAATTAGGAACAAAATTTCAGTAGCATTTTTGAGCTTTCTTATAACTATATAACATTAAAATAAGCATGGCGGCTAAGCTTTGAAGCTGAACATATAAATGTGCAGGTCAAGTCAATGTGGTAAAAACGTCACCTGGTTTTCAAATCTCTACCATTTATCTAACTCAGAAATCCCCGGGGGACACAAATCACTGTTCCACTGGGACAGCTGCAGTGATAGGGACAGCATAAAGGAACTTTGTGTTCTCCAGGGAAATCAAGGACCTTATTCTAACCCAGAATCCAGCCATCATTTTGGCAAGTTAACAAAAGTATCACTTTCTACCCAGTACAGCAGGTGAAAATATGCAATACTATGGAGTTAAAAAAAAAAAAAAAAAAAGTCCAGAAAAATTAGAAGAAATACAAGTGCTATTTTAAAAACTAAAACTGCGGTCCCCAGCTCTGGGGTTGGTCTGAGGACCGGTATCCCCATCCACAACCTGTAGGGACCAGGCTGCAGAGCTCCACTGCACCCCCCAACTCCGTCCATGGAAAACTGTCTTCCATGAAACTTGGGGGCAGGCATGTACAGGAGGTGGCGGGCAGCAGGCGAAAGAGCAAAGCTTCATCTGTATTTACAGCTGCTCCCCATCACCACCTGAGCTTCCCCCACCTATCCATGGAAAAACTGTCTTCCGTGAAACTGGTCCCTGGTACAAACGGTTGGGGGCCACTGATCTGTAAGATAATAGCCAATAAGAGAAACCACGAGTGCAATGAAAAAAGTGTTCATAATGTATACATTTCCCTGCATCACCTCCTTCCCCTCCCTATCCCAGCAGCAACGAGCAGGTGTTAGTTTATTACAGTATAATGACTACCACCACCAAGTTTGGAAACAACACAAGTCAAGTCATATCTCAGCTCTATCACTTAGCAGTATGACCTTGGATAAGTCATTTAAATGGGGAATTAAATTTTGGCCTTCCTTCTATAGTGATTGTTATAATTAAATGAAATAATTCAATCCCACAGCTTGACACAGCTTGGAAGATAATAAGTGTTCAATAAATAATTCCTACATAACTACTACTATTCCCACAACTACCTGACTACCACCAAATAGAGTTATGGCCGGGCACAGTGGTGCACACCTATAATCCTAGCTACTCAGAAGCCGGGAGGATTGCTTGAGGCCAGGAGCTTGAGACCAGCCTGGGCAACACTGCAAGACCCAATCTCTACAAAAAAAATTTGAAAATTAACCCAGTGCAGTGGCATGAGCCTATAGTTCCAGCTCCTCAGGAGGCTGAGGAGGGAAAACTGCAGTGGGCCATGCTGATCAGGTGCCCAAGCTAAGTTCGGCATCAGCACAGTGACCTCCTGGGAGCAGAGGACCACCAGCCTGCCTGAGGAGAGGTGACCCGGCCCAGGCTGGGAAAGAATTATAGAAAGTAGGGGTTGTTATATTTTTTTCTGTAGAGGGCCAGAGAGTAGGTATTTGTGGACCACACAGTCTCTGTCACATATTCTTCTTTGGTTTTGGTTTTTCTTTTCACAACCCTTTAAAATTACGATAATCACTATTAGCTCAAAGGTCCATATAAAAACAGTCAAGGGCCACATCTGACCTGCAGGCTAGTTTACTGACCCAGCTCTAAAGGGTGAGTTGAGATTTCAATATTTACAACTCACCAATTCCACCCTAAAGAACTTCTTGCATGCATGAACAAAAAGACATTTAGATGAGCATTCCCCCAAAGTAATTTTTTAGGGGAATAAATGCAAACTAAATGTTCACCCACCGGAAAATAAATTATGGTATATTCATACAATGAAATATATAAAACCACTGAAATTATATCTACATATATCAATATGGATGTATCTTGAAAGAAATATGTTGCAGAATGATACAAATGACACCATTCATGCAAATTAAAAGTTTTAAAAGAACACAAACAAGGGGAGAGGGGGCGGGTATATACATACATAATGAGTGAGATGTGCACCATCTGGGGGATGGTCATGATGGAGACTCAGACTTGTGGGGGGAGGGGTGGAAATGGGCATTTATTGAAACCTTAAAATCTGTACCCCCATAATATGCCGAAAAAAAAAAAAGAACACAAATAATAGTATGTTTTGCTTATGAATACATACTTATATAGTAAAATTATAAAAACATATGCAGAAAAAATATAGTAATTTTAATATAATAAAATTATAAAAACATATGCAGAAAAAATATGTACTATGCAGAAAAATATGTATTTCAGAATAGTAAAGGCATGGGAATGGAATTGGGATAGGAGATTACCTGAAAAGTTCTATTTCTTGAACAAATCTGAGGTGAAACAGAGCAAAGTATGAATATGTGTTAAATCTAGGTGGCAAGTACACAGGCGTGTGTTTCTCTCACTCCCTGCATGCTTCTCTCACTCCCTGCGTGCTTCTGTACATAAAGAAAGAGCACCAGTTTGTCCACATGGTCACTACTCTCCAGATGAGCCTATCACAACCTGGTCCTCTTCTCTCACCTCACACAGATAGTGCACGTGTTATTGGTGGCAGCTCCCGTTCCACTTTCAGGGGTTTCTTTGGAACAAACTAAAACCATTGAATGCTCTTTCGGTGACAGCTGGGAAAGCACACAATCAGGTTCTGACTCGTCCACTCGAGTATTCAATTACCTCTTTCACAACACTGTAGGCCTTGGCCACACCTTCCCTCAGGTCTACTGGCTGATGGGCTAGTCGGTGATGAGGAAACCTTTTGGTCTTCTTGGGCTCGATAGCAAGGGTACCAGGAGACACCATGTCATAAGCAGTCTCTGCTGCTGCCTGGATCGTTTGTCAGAGGTAAGAAATGAATTAGAAGACAGTCTGGAGAATTATGCACCCACAGTGCACTTCCTACAGGGAGTGAAGAAGAGAGGGACCCCCACGCCCTAATACAGATACTTGTATGTGTTTGAATTCTTCACAACAAGAATTTATAACTTTTATAACAAGAACATTGAAGTATAAATTAAAAACTTATATCTGGATTCAGCTGATTTTTTAGTCCCTTCTCTGTTTTCTAAGAACACTCAACATTCCCATGTCAGTCTATGGAGCTTAAGACTTAACACTGCTACTGTTTAATCTAAAATATTTTCTTTAAATTTAGCTATGATACTTTCATACAAATGTGATGAAATAAATCCTCTGCTAACTTAACGGTTATGGTTAACCTGAAATAGGCAAACAAATCTGACACTGTATTCCACTGCTCTATTTTACTAATTTTTTAACACTAGACATTTAAGCAATAAAACAAGCATGACATTAAATCTTTATAAATAAAGTATAATATCTACTCCCAACATTTTGTGTATTTCTACAGTATTGTTTTTAAAACAAAATAACTCAACTGTTTCACAATGGCGCTTCCTCTTTGTACAGATTAAGATAGTCTAAGGGAAGATACCTGTATTGTCTGAACCATTCTGTTTGTGAGTTCCAGCGCAGCCATTGCTGTCGAGGTACCAAAGGAAGCAGCCCCTCTCTGAAACCCTCTGACGATACGGCCATCCTTCCGGTACTGCTCTATTGGTAACCAGACCAAGTCCTTTAGGCCTTGCACTAGAACAGTCAACACAGAAACCAGTATGAATGTTGGGCTTCAGACCTCTGCTATCGTTCTAATGCTGAGGTATTTTACTCCTGAAACTGGAGGCAAAGTTTTACATGTGTGAGTACACATCTAGGTTTTCTAGATTGATGGTCCTCACATAGACTCTCAAAGGAATCTACAATCCTAAAAGGGTTAAGAATCACTGATCCAGCAAAATAACTTCTCTTTTGATTAAAAAAAAAAGAAAGAAAGACAAAAAGAAAACTTACCTAATTGTACTAGTGAATGCATAGGCCCAACACCACCCAGTATTCCTGGTAACTGATTCTTCTTAATGTCATTAAGCCATTCAGTGATTGCATATGAGAACAATTTGTCAACACCTAACAAACTACAGCAAATGACTATTAGTGTATAGGAAGGAGAAATAAATTTATAGACATAGATATGTTTGGGTTCTTTTTAATTAAGACAAAAGAAAACTTATGAATTATAAGGACAAATATTACAAATGCTCCAAAAGCAGCTAACATATTTTAAATTAAAAAAATATAAATCATTTAACTCCCAATCTGTTTCTATATAATATACATTCAATCCAATTATAAAGTAGATAATTTCTATAAGGCTTAGGTAATATGTATAAGTGTGTTTTTCCACTGTCCTTATTTCTTGAACATATAAGGCCCTGGCACAGAATTAACCCAAAGTCTGTAAATTGCCACTAATTGCTACTAAGAACCACTACAACCATGTGAATTTCCAGTCTTTTCACTGAATAAGCTAATTTGCAACTTTAAGAAATTATTAAAAGTATCCTAAACTATATCTATTTTTGAAAAATACTACTCTGTTCAAACTGTTTCTAATCCCTCATAATAAAAATTAGCACCTAATCAATAAGTGTCCTTTAAAAATAAGCTCTCTGCAGACAACAGTGTAAAATTAAGTTATGCATGCTTGCTAAGAAAACTCAGTTTTATTTTTCATTTATTTATTTTTTCTTGAGGCAGAGTCTCACTCTGTTGCCCAGGCTAGAGTGCCTTGGCGTCAGCTTAGCTCACAGCAACCTCAAACTCCTGGGCTCAAGCAATCCTACTGCCTTAACCTCCTGAGTAGCTGGGACTACAGACATGCACTACCATGCTCAGCTAATTTTTTACATATATATTTTTAGTTGTCCAGCTAATTCCTTTCTATTTTTTTTGTAGAGACAGAGTCTCGCTCTTGCTCAGGCTGGTCTCGAACTCCTCAACTCCAACGATCCACCTGCCTCGGCCTCCCAGAGTGCTAGGATTACAGGCATGAGCTACCGCACCTGGCCTGAAAACTCAGTTCTTAATTTGTTGTAAAGTAACTTTACCTTAAAGCTTCATATAATAAATCAACTTACCCATGCCGATAGAAAAGCCTCTTCAGCTTTAGTTCAGAGCAGTTTAACTGAGCCAGACCAATCAAAATCCCAGCTAATGTACCCTTTAAAATTAAGAAAGGCCAGATTCATCTGTAAATTAAGAGACTTAACATTTTAAATAATTGTTAACTTGAAAGTCAAATCAATATTCATTATTGATACTAAAACACTTAAAATATTTACAGCAAAAATATTTATATTTTATAAGATAATACATACCAATTTATACCAAATTTTACTCTTGGTAGTTGATATTTACTTTGAAAACAATTAAATTTAAAAAGTTTACACTTCATTTCAAACATATATATAAACTATGACAGAGCAAAGTTAAAAAAAAAACTTGAGTTCATTAGAAAAACAAATTAAATATTTGTAAAGTATATTTGTGTAGTTTCCAAACCTGATCCATTGATACGTGTTTGCCATGATAATCAAGTCGAATGGGAACTTCTGACGTGAATCTAAACTCTCTGAAGATAAAGAAAGGAGGGGAGTTATTTATATTTCAAATTACTAATAGTTGAAATTAGAAACAAATTAATTTGTTCAACTGGAGAATGAAAACAAAACCACAAAATAATAATGTGACTATCTTAAGGACTAAATAAAAGAGAATGTCTTTCAGCTCTACTTTTCTTAATATAACTGAAAACATGTTAATCATCTCGTAAATTATATTTTTATATTTATATTTTCTCACAAAAACCTTTTCTTAGTTTATGAAATATTTACTCTTAGAAAAATTTATTCTGGTACATATTCTCAGTTCACACAAAGTACAAATTAGTAAAAGCAACCTCAAGATTAAACCAGATAATCATTATCAAGAAACAAAAAGAGAAGAGTAAGTTCTCTGGTGAAGTAGAGTCAGAAAGCCTGGGCATTGAGTCCCAGCTTTATCTACGGGATGCAGTCACGAGCAAGTATTTTAAACTCTCTGCTCCTCAATGCCTTCATCAGTAAATGCTTAAAACACAACCTACATTGGTGAATTTTGTTCAGAATTCTTAAAATTAATACTTGCAAATAGAGTATCAACAAACAAATATTGGGAACCATGTGAGAAGGAAATTGCAATTACACAGTCATCCCCTGGTATCCAAGCAGGACTTGTTCCAGGACCCTCCTGGATACCAAACTCCTTGATGTTCAAGTCCCTTTCATAAAACGGTGTAATGTTTGCATATAATCTTCCCGCATTTTCTTGTATACTTTAAATTATTTCTAGATTACTTATAATAGTTAATACAATGTAAATAGTTGTTATACTGTATCTTTTATTTGTATTTTCATTGTTGTATTGGTTTTTTTCTCCCAATATTTTTGAAAAATACTCAACCACAGTTAGTTGAATCTCAGAGGAGGAATTCATGGATGCAGAAGGCTGACTGTACACTGATAAGACACATTAAACAAAATGAGCTGGCTTCTAAAAGTTGACTATAAACTGAATGTCTGGAACTTGAAACACATTTTTTTCCACAGAGTTAATGTTAGTGGTTATATTCCTAAGCCATCTCACAAAATTCCACTTAACCTACAATAAAATGGAAATGCTGTATTTACATCAATTGCTACAAGCAGCATGGGATCCCAGGTGACCCCTTATCCTCTGAATATTCATCTTCATTTGGTTCCCTGGGCAATACCCTCTCAATAACCCCCATCCCCTTCCCACTCTTTTTGTCTCCATGGCACATATATTAAGACAAACTATTTAGTTTAATTATTTGTAAGCTCAATTAAGTAAAGGTTTTTCTTTGCTTTGTTCACTGTGCCTAAAACATCTGGAATACAGTAAGTGCTCAATAAATATTAATATTTGTTGAATGAATGTTTATGGGGAATGAGGGGAACTGTTATGTCATCACTGAGAAATGCACTTGCTTTTCTGGATTGGAGATAAGAAGACCTGTGTTCTAGTCCTGGCTCAGCCACTATTTGTATGGTCTTTAGCAAATCATCTCACCTCTCTGGGCATTATTTTATCTGTAAGGTGCAGAATTTGGACTATATCACTGTTCATCACGCCTATGTCCTAGATCCTCTAGGAACTTTTAAGAACACAAATAAAAATCTATAAGCTATTCTCAATATTTTAAATAGTCTAATTAAAAAAATAAATATTTACCTAAATAAGTAGGCCTTGTGTACTTTTTTAAACTAAATAAGTAACCCTACTCACTTACATTAAAGTCAAATTTCTTACTTTCAGGCCCATGTTTACAAAAACCAAATTGGTAGTTTATATGTGATTAATGTAAAATAAGAATTCAAATTATCACTTAAGATATATAATTTTTAATAGGAAATTTTTAAATAAAAGATGCATGAGAGAAATTAATGAAAGAGGTTGGTTCTTCTTTTGTGGCAGAAAGAGTCAGAACCACCAGAGATCATCTATTCCAATTCCCATATTTCATTATTTTTTCCTGTTTTCATCTGTTTACAAGATATTTAAAACATGGCAACACTTTCAAATAATAATACTACCCATTTTGGGCCATATCTAAAGTTTAACCTCAGAAACTGGAGGAAAAGACAGAGAGAAATAGAGGACCCTGGATGCCCAGGGTAGGGGCACAGAAAACCAGGGAAGGTAGATAATTGTCCCTCACAACAAGGAGGCTTTGACCTGCAAGCCCTTTTTCCAATAGTGCCAAGGCACCATCCCTACCATCGAGGGTTGGGAAAGAAAGATGGGAAGAACGAATGGGCCTGGGAATGAGAAATAAAGTCCAGTGTGCTGCGCTCCAGCTGACCGAGCGTTGGGCAGTAGTCACAGCAGACAGCAGCAGCAGAGGGGACCTGGGTTTCCCAATGGTGTTCACTTAGCCAGGGACGGAAGGAAAGACACAACAGCGATAGGGAAGGGCAGATGGAGAAAACTAGGTGAAAATTCTCATAAGGGAAAAGGCAGGAAATGCCCAAGTTGAGGTGTGTAAAGGAAAAAAGGCAAAAGGATGACATCATATTTAGAGGCGTACAAATACACCTTGACAATCAATGACTAGGAAGAGGGGTACATAAGAGGGAAGAAAAGAAGAAGCTGGGAGGGAAAGGAAATTACTGCTGCCGAATCAATACAGAGATAAATCCTCAACTGGGATTACAATGTGTAAAAAAATGAGGGGTACAAGTTAGAAAAGGACCACATACAAATAACATACCAGTTGGTTATTTGTCAGTGCAAAGAAATGCTGCTGTAATCTCATGAATACCAGTACACATACACATTACAATCTTCAAAACTCTAAAATAACTTCATTTATTATCAAAATTAAATTATTTACCTGAAAAACACAGGCTGATCACTAAATGATGCTTCTTCAGCAGAGAAGTCCTTCTCCTCTGCCCCATTAACCACTTCCACTGAATTGGCACTATCATTTTGGGAAGGTTGTTTTGGCCCAGGGAAAGAAATAACTAGATTTGGCTCCTTTGAGGTACTCAAATGCCTTGGCAAACTGCAGGTGACATCAGCTCCAGGGGACTTTTTAACTGAAATTGTAATGTGCACATTTGAAAAATTAGGTATGCTTCTTTAGATACCAGTTTAAATCAATCTTGATTTAACTTGCTTTGCTACGTTTCATTTAATCAAAATACAATTTCTGCTACAGAGAAAATCTGCCTTCACCTTTTAAATTATTACTTTTACATAAACTATATTTGCATAAATTAACAAACTACAACACTTATATAAATGGGAATAAAGATTTTAAGTACAGACTTAAAAAAGCCTTATAATCAATCCAAGTATTTGATATAGCCTTTTCACACTGCACATATTTAATACCTTCTGGATCTGGAGTCATTAGAAGCTCTACTTCTGTAGAAAGACTTGTGAAGAAATCTTTCAGGAAGAACAAGGCATCCTAAAATTAAGAGATTAATAGTAACTAAAAGGAAACAAGAGTCATCTATTTTTAAAACTATGAAACAAAGTATCTTAAACTCTCATATTTTGCTTATAATTCAAATGTAGCTATGATTTATTGACTCCTTACGCTGTGTCAGGCATTACTCCTATTCTCCTCGTGTAACACACACACACACACACACACACACACACATATACACGCTTGCTTCCCTGCCAGCTCTCATAACTCTATGAGGAAATTAATTTATAAAGGTGAAAACTGAGAAACAGAAGTTAAAGATTACAAAGTTTTTCAAAGTACATTTTTGTTTTCTTAAAAATAGAGCATTCTTATTCTTTCTTGCCATTAGCTCTCACTGTAAATTGGCAGTGATAATATTACTAACAACGATAATAACAGCTAGCATGTACTGGATACCTGTATGCCTTGAAAGTTCTTAATGACCTATTTCTACTTTTATCACTAAATTTTATTATCTTAATACATTTCATCATTGGACATGATATTCAAAATAAAAATTAAAAATAAATAAAATTGCCCATTCAGTGTGGTCTCCTTGAAATTATATAATTACAAATAAAAGACATATGACTCTGTCTTAATATACATATATGCCATGTTTGCCCACTATTGGAAGCTTCATTTTGCCGGCCTCACTCAAATCCATAAATACATTTAGGAAGATATAAAAATTAAATGCCTGACCCTGGTCTTTCTTAATCTTTCCTTCCACTTAAAAAAATCCTAAATTAATATAAAATATTAATACCGGACCAAAATGCAATGTAAAGGGTCAAAATATCTGGTAGCACACTGGCAATTCCAAAGGATGCAATTGCCTACTGATCACATTTATGAGAAGTATAAACAACGCAGGTGAGATATATAGAGAGGTACCATGGCACACAGGAGACAGAGCAGCAGACTGCAGAGCAAGCAGGGAGTTTGGACAGGACTGGAATGTTCTGGTTTACAAGCAGAGTAACGGGTTCATGAATTGTTCAATATATTGTTATGCTTTACATATATAGTCATGTGTACTTTTTGTATATTCTTTACGTTACACACATTTAACATATATAACATTTTATTTATACTAGAACAAATACATCTTAATAAATAGTATATAGAATATATTCATTGGCCACTAGATGGTGATATTTTAATGCCATAAATGTTTTGACTCCAAGACTGCCTTCAAAAAAACAGGCAATTTCAGTTATCAATTCACTGTTTAAGAAAAAAGGAAGACTAAAGAAACAACGGTCTCTACACATTTTTCACCACAAATATACAAAACAACAGACAAAGGGATGACAATTGTCAGCTTTTTAAAATGTTCTCAAATTTTTGGTATTTATGCTAAACTCTTTACAGCACAGTAAAGATAAACAAGTCAATTTTAAAACTAGCAAGACACAGACACTTCATAATCACAAAAGATGACATATAAGCACCTAATAAGCATACAAAATGATGCTCAACACTACTAGTCATCAGAGAAATCCAAACTAAAGCCAATGAACATGAAACACCCACAATTAAAAAGATGACAATAGCAAGTTTGGCCAAGATATGAAGCAGCTGCAGCTCCCATCGGTGACTGGTGGGAATGTACAATATGACAGCCAATGTGGAGAACTGTCCAGCAGCTTATGACAGTTACACATATACCTATCCTATGACCCAGAAATTCTACTTTTAATATATATATTTATTTACCCAAGAGAAGTGAAAACATATCCATAGAAAGACTTCTACATACATTTCATAATACCTTATTCACCAAAACCAGGAAACAACCCAAATGTACACCAGCAGGTAGGCAGGCAAATGGTGGTGTACCCACGCAGTGAAACACTACTCGGCAGTAACAGTGACCGCTGATACATGCCATAACACAGATGCACCTCACAGACATAGTGCTGAATTTAGGAAGGTAAATACAGTTCTGTTTACATGAAGTTGTAGAACAGAGGAAAACTAATCTATGGTGATCAAAAGATCAGTGGTTGTTTTTGCGTGGTGGAGACAGACTACAAAGGGACACATGCAGACTCTATAGGGTACAGAAAACGTTCTCTATTTCAACTAGTGTAATAGCTACTCAAGTGTATAAATCTGCCTAAGTGGTGCATTTTATTACATGTAAATTATACTTCAATACAATTGTTTTAAAGTTTAAACAATTTTGTTATACTTACGCTAAATTTTGGCTATAAAATATTTATGCCTAGCTTTAAGATCCTACGATAAAGGATATTAATAAGGCAATATGACTTAAAGTCTTAAAAAAATTACTTTTCATGTCATACTTAAGCAACAAAGCAATGATAATGAAAAACACAAACGTGCAAACTGCTGCAGCTTCATGTTTACCCTATTTGGCCTCAGCTGAGCACTTCCTTATCTTACTTAACAGAATGGTCACCCACTGCACAGCCAAAGAAATAGTCATGAAAGTAAACAGACAACCTACAGAATGGGAGAAAATTTTTGCATCCTACACATCCGATAAGGGGCTGATAACTAGAATATACTTAGAACTCACGAAAATCAGCCAGAAAAAATCATATAACCCTATTAAAAAGTGGGCAAAGGACTTGAACAGAAACTTTTCTAAAGAAGACAGAAGAATGGCCAACAAACATATGAAAAAATGCTCAACATCTCTAATCATCAGGGAAATGCAAATCAAAACCACAATGAGATATGACTTAACTCCAGTGAGAATGGCCTTTATCAAAAAGTCCCAAACATAAATGCTGGTGGGTTGCGGAGAGAAACACTCCTACACTGCTGGTGGGACTGCAAACTAGTTCAACCTCTGTGGAAAGCAATATGGAGATACCTTAAAGCCATACAAGTGAATCTACCATTTGATCCAGCAATCCCATTGCTGGGCATCTACCCAAAAGATCCAATGACACTCTACAAAAAAGACACCTGCACTCGAATGTTTATAGCAGCACAATTCATAATTCAAGGCTGTGGAACAGCCCAAGTGCCCATCAATCCAAGAATGGATTAATAAAATGTGGTATATGTATACCATGGAGTACTATTCAGCTCTAAGAAACAATGGTGACATAGCACATCTTATATTGTCCTGGTTAGAGCTGGAACCCATACTATTAAGTGAAGTTTCCCAAGAATGGAAAAACAAGCACCACTATACTTCACCAGCAAATTGGTATTAACTGAGCGGCACCTAATGGACACATAGGTACTACAGTAATAGGGTATTGGGCAGGTGGGAGGGGGGGAGAGGGGCGGGTATATACATATATAATGAGCGAGATGTGCACCATCTGGGCGATGGTCATGCTGGAGACTCAGACTTATGGGTGGAGGGGAGAATGGGCATTTATTGAAACCTTAAAATCTGTACCCCATAATAGCGAAAAAAAAAAAAAAAGAATGGTCTCCCAAACCCAATCCACAGCCAGTATTAGGGTCTCGGTATCTTTACAAAAATCTTAATTTGCTTAACTCCACTGCATTCCTTAAGACTCAGCTTGACAGTCACCATCTCCAGAAAGCCTTTCCTGGTCATCCCCCACCCTTCCAAACTCCCAGCCCAGCTCGGGAGCCTTCTTCTGCTCAGGCACACCATCCTATGCCTATCGTCATCACTTGTATGCACCACAGACATTAAAGTTATCTGTTTGTGTCAGTCTTCCCTACTATACAGAGATCTTTGAGGACACAGATGTCTTATTCATCTTTGTATGCCCAGCATCCTAGTACAGAACCTGGGGACAAGGTGGGCATTTAGCAAATGGTTTAAATTAATTAACACATCTTCCCAACATAGACTGGGAAGTCAACACAGGCAGTACAATAGTAAAATGAACACGAGACTGAGAAAGTAAGGAAATCCGGCCCCCTTCATATTTCAGATCTCCAACTGCCTAGTTGTATGACCTTCACCATCCACTTACCCCCCTAGATGGGACTCATTCCATCTGCATGTTTACTGCCTACCCTGTGGCAACACTGAGCTTTGGAAGCAATTGTACAACAGCAATGCAGCTTTTTAAAAACATGAGAAAACAATGTGTTTCTGTCATACTTAATGTTTGTGGCTCAATTAAGATGAGTAGGTTGGGATGTGCTTGGTAAGAAAAATATTACTCAATGCATTATTATTCATCAACTAATTTGTTTTCACAAGAATAAATGAACAAAAATATTTGGGTTTCTACTTAGATGATCATTTACTATCCTAAAATATGGTATGCCAATCTTAGAAGATGCAAACCAGAAAGGAATTTTTTATTAGGTGCTACACCTCATTAAGGTATACATGTTTGTAGCATGACTTTGTTTTCCTATGTTTTACATCTAGGGAATTATTTCCCATATTTCCTCAACACAGTCATAAAATTTATTTCCCTGTTTTCTCTAAGATTAATATTTCTCCATTTTATAATCATAATGCTTTATAGTTCTAAATAAGAAATTATATCAGAAATTAAAGAAAAAAGTCTACTAATCAAAATTAGGCTTGCTAAGTTTGATAAAACCAGGCCACAAAAATGCATCTTACTCAAAGTCTTGTTCACACTGGTGATTTCCACGGATTAATTTTCCTATATATATTTCATTATATTTCTACTAGGCTATTTCTAATAGATAAATTAAATTTAAATGTAGATATCAAAAGATAATCTTCTCATAATGAGAAAACATAACTCTAAAGTACTAAGTGGCAAGTCAGACCCAGCTCAGAAGCTACAAGCACTAATACAAAGTTATACTAAACTTCTATACTTCACAGTATGATCTGAGATAGTGCTCACTCCTGAAATACCTACTAATTTGCTTTTTAATAGTTATTCAAGTTTTATTTAAATAACTTTATTAATGAAAATTAATCAATACTATATAAACAAATGAATGCCACCCCACAAATACTGGACTTCTAAACCTGAACTCACAACATGTATATCAAGACAGTTTTGTTATTTCAAAGCATATTATGTTAAAACTCCATTTATGTTTTGTACCTATTATACATTTCAGTTAATAATGACAACGGTTTGCATTACTGAGACCTAACATAGTATGCCAGGCACCAAGCTAAATGTATTTCACACGCTAGTCTATTTAATCTTTATTTATAAAAAAAGGGCCGGGCGCGGTGGCTCACGCCTATAATCCTAGCACTCTGGGAGGCCGAGGCGGGTGGATTGCTCGAGGTCAGGAGTTCGAAACCAGCCTGAGCAAGAGCGAGACCCCGTCTCTACTATAAATAGGAAGAAATTAATTGGCCAACTAATACATACAGAAATCGCTTGAGCCCAGGAGTTTGAGGTTGCTGTGAGCTAGGCTGCCGCCATGGCACTCACTCTAGCCTGACAGAGTCTCAAAAAAAAAAAATTATGATACATGTATTACTATTTCTCCTCCCATTCTATCAATGAGGAAACTAAGGCCTGGAGATGAGTTAAGTTAAGTTAAGTAAGTTATTCAAAGCCATACAAATAATAGAAGTTACAGAACTAAGACTGAAGCCCAGGTCTGCTTCAAACCCATGCTCTCCACCACTACACTATACTACCATAAAGCATCGTATTTTTTATATATCTTGAATAAAGTTTCTCAAAGAGACACCAACTATGTCTTAAACAGTTCTCTGGGGCAAAGAAAAATAAGAAGAATTTGATGGAATGCTTGCTAGAATATGGGAAAGTGGATTTTTTTATGCCTTTCCCTAAATCTCTATTGTTTGTGACCTCTTTAGTATACCAATTTACTAATTTGTCATCCTTCCCAGAGCAGAAAGAATTCTCTTCCAGATGCTGTGATTAAGACACAATCCCTTACATCAATCAGTCCATCAGGCAGTCCTTTAATATTCTCTGAAAATAAATGTATATCTGAATAGAAGTATGTACTAATATGTAAGGATTATCAAGAACAGAAGTAGGCATTAAGGCCTATATGTCACAAAGACAATGAGTAGGAGGCTGAAGGATAACAGCTGTAATGCTGGGGTGAGAGATGAAAAATTTCCTATGAGTACAATGTACACTATTTGGGTGATGGGCACAAAAGCCCAGACTTCACCACTATACAATGTATACATGTAATAGAATTCAACTTGTACCAAGTTTATTAAAATTTTTTTAAAGGGAGAAAAAAAAAAAACTAGTGACCTTTAGCACCCTTAGACAGCTCTGTGACTATGAACTTGAACAATCCTACCCTTTATCCGGCTATACTAATTTCTACCTCTGTCCATTGTGTCTGGAGTATTATTTACTCCTGTGTGTGTATATGTATGTGTGTGTAAAATATAACATACATAAAGATTTTTAAAATATATTATTTAACAAAAACAAAGTAATGTTTACTCACCAAGAGTTCAGACTCTAAACATCTAATGAACCTACCGTGTTCGTTATCAGGAGTCTGTTTTAATTAAGTAACTTACATAAAGGTCTAACAGTAAGAAACATTACAATTCCCTCATTCTGAACGTGGGGTATGTATCTAACCCTAACGGCACGAATCACGCCCACACTACAAACCTGGTCAATGTTGAGGCGCAGCGGCATCAGCGACACTCTCAGGCAGCACTCCTGTGGTGACCTGCCAGACTCTGGACGCACGTGTAAGGCTTTCACCGTCAACTTTAAGTCAAAAAAGAAAAAAGCATTTTCCCCCAGTGATATAATGACCTTGTTCTCATTTAAAATGAAAAAGAAAGAAAAGAAAAGAAAAAAACATATTCCTAGCTTATGAGAACAAAAAGTAGAATTGTTTGCCCTCTTTCCTTGAAAGCCTGAATCAAACTTATTTGGGTCACACGTTCCTTCAAGAATTTGATGAAAGATACAGATTCTCTTTAGAGAAAAAATTCCAAATGGATAATGTTGTACTTGCAGGCTCAAAAGAGTTTACTTAGCCCTGAAGCTAATCCATAAGCCCACATTCCAAAGTCAGCTTCTAGGAAGAACCTCCCAAGTCCTACTATGTTACCAGAATTTAAAGTTTACAAAATCTGGAATACTTTCTGCAATACTAGGTATTTTGTATAGATCACTATGGACTTCTGATTTATTAGCAATTATAGTTAATGGACTCTAGAAGTGGCATACAAAATAATTTTTAAACATAAAAATTTAAGCAGCACACTTAAAAGGATATTTTATATTAAAATGAGAGAAAATATCCGGTAATTTTCCCCACTCTAATTCTTCCGCAGTTAGATATAATAAAAACACTTTTCCAAAACTAATACAACAACAACAAAATGAGGTTTTAAATGCTACCATGTTAGAATGAGCTTTTCGAGGCATTTCTTTACTGCAATACAGGTACAAAAATTTATTCATTTGTGATGTTGCCAGACGATCTCGAATTTCCAGATCCTGAACAATGAACACTTGCCGGGAGACTGGGTGTTCTAAGAGGCTGGAATCGAATTCTGGTTTGCATGGCGGGTAGACTTCATGCTGAAACTTCACCTTAATAAATAAAGAGAATGAACACAGAGTAATCCTTACATTTAAATTAGAATTCCTCTTTAACTCGCAAAGTATCACTCACTATTTTCTTTGGATTCTACCTCAGCTTACGATTCCACTTTCAAAGAACTAAGCAACACATTTCTTCACTTGTTCACTTATTTATATTTTGGTCCACAGTAATCCCCCCTTATACAAGCTTTTGGTTCCGAGGTTTCAGTTACCTGCGGTTTCAGTAACTAAAACATGGTCAACCGAATTCCAAAAATATTATAGTATTTTGAGAGAGTGAGACCACATTCACATAACTTTTATCATAGTACATTGTTATAACTGTTCTATTTTATTAGTTATTATAGTTAATCTCTTACTGTGTCTAACTCATAAACTAAACTTTATCATAGTCATGCATATGTAGTAAAAATAATAGTATATATAGGCTTTAGTACTATCTGAACCACCAGTTTCAATCATTCACTGGGGCTCTTAAAATGTATTCCCCACGGATAAGGGGAGACTTCTCTATGTGTATCCTACCATACATAGATAAGCTTGACTAACATTTGACCTTGGTAAAACACCTTTTCCTTTTCAAGTAAAATCCTCAACAGGAACATGACATAAAATTATCATCTTGCATACCTACAAAATTGCTTAAAAATGAATCAAAGGAGGCAGGGTTAAGTTCCAAAAGGGGGCAAAGATACGATTAAATATATGGAATTGCCATCACTATAATATTTATATGCTATCTTAAAATATCACAGTTGGTACAATCTCAGACATGCTGACAGAATTAAATGCACATGATGCCATCAGTAGTCTGGCCCTACTGGCTTATAGACATTCACAAAGGATCTGTCACATGCACTATCCAAATGCAGCTCTTCCCAGGCATGTACTCTAGAGCAGTGGTTCCCCAAGTGTCCTGGGAATCGTATCTGCACCACCTAAAACTGCAAATTCTTGCACACAACTCAGACCTCATGAATCAGAAACTCTGGGGGAGTAGGGATGAGGGAAGAAACCTGTTTTAATAAGCCCTCCAGGGGATCCTCAGCTCACTCCACTCTAAGAACCACTGCTCTAGGGCTAGCCTGGGAAAATAAAAACAAAAATACCTTAGTCTTCTCAGAACACTTGAGAAAGAAAAAGAAGTAAGAGTTTTGTGCAAGTTTCTTACATTTTTCTAATCCAAAGCGCTAGGACTTAAGGCTCACGACCATGCTGTGGTGGGTAACCAAAGAATCCCCACCAATGCTCCTACCCAAGTGGATTTCTCCTTTCAAAATGCCATCTCACCTTGCTTAACTGTATTTCCATTAAAAAGTCATGGTTTCTTCCTTTTCCCCCACATACCGTATTACGTCCATGTCTTGTGGGTGTGTGAGAAGGTGAACTGTGGGTACTACTAAAAATAAGCAAAAAAAAGAAAAAAAAACCTTTTGTTAAAGGAACATTCAAAGAAAGACTATGAATGACATCAAGAAAAATGATAAGATGAAAAGAGAAAATAAGATTATAGAACTATCAAGAATGTTATCACAAATATTACTACAAATGAAAACCACATCTTTCACACTCTGGAGATATCGAAAACATGATGTACTTTATTACTTTATTAAAGTACTGATGTACTTTATTACTGCCATCAGAGTAACCACCTGCTTGCCAAATATTCAGAACTACAAAAAAAAAAAAAAAAGCTAATTATGATGCTAAAGTCCATATCACAGGACACACTTAGAAATGAGACCTCCTTATAAATTTCTTGTTACGTCAGAAACCCTTTATAGTCAGAGAAGTAGTACTAGAAATCCCAGTTAGTACAAAAAAGAATTATAGTAAAGTCAGAAGAGTTTCTCTGCTCAATAGCCTGCTGGACCAGTGGGGGCTTGGGGCTGGCTTGGCCCTTGCTTCCTAACACTCACTTCACCTCATTCCCCTCCTTCACTCACGTGACTGTCCCTCCCTTTGGGACTGAGGGCGGGGACTGGGTCTTAGTCATTTTTGTCAATAGACACATAGCAGGTAGCTGAAAATTTTTCTGAATGAAATCATATGTCAACATTTTAGTAAAAATACAAATAATACAAATAAGTTCATAAATGAAAAACTGTAAGAATGATATTTAAGTTACATAGTTACATACTACTTATTTTATAATACTTAAAATACTTAAAATGACAAATTCTATATATTTTTCTATAAAAAGATATAAAATGTCATGCCAACCTATATAGAAATTAACTTACATATAACTTTTAGCTGGAGAAGTAGGAGGAACTGTTCCAAAATCCTTTCCTCCATAAAGATGCCAAACAAGAGAAACTTCCTTAACAACATATCGAATTACAGGAATGGGAAAGTGTAATGGGGCTTTGCTTGTATCTGTCTTCTTAACAGGCAGACTGAAATAATTGTCTCTTATCACAATTGCATCATCAACCATGATTTTTATAACTGGTTCTTCTTCCTTCTCCTGAAATAAACAGGTAACACATACTCGCTTATTTCATTAGAAACAACTGATTATTGCTGTATATCTCAAGGGGATTTCTTAATTCTACATTCTTTTTAATAATATCAGTATATAAAATGGGGTAGTAATTACTGACATTAATCATCACAGAAGATACTCGGCTTTATTAACCATAAAATGAATTCTCTTTGTGCTCTATGCAAACCACTCCATATGGATTTTTTATAGTTTACAATTTAGCTTTTACTATTTGATAACAAAAAGGCACAGATTCGTGTGTGTGTGTGTGTGTGTGTATTTTATTAATTTAAAGTCAATACCTCATTCCAAACCAAAACTTGACAAACTTCAAAATATGACCACATTATCTATCCTGAGTTTGACTGTTTTGATTTTTTAAATTTAATCAGAAGATTCTCAGAACTTAGTAAACAAATAATCATCTAAGGAACTGGGCGGTTTCCAAAAATAAAAATACACACACACAACCATCAGCCTTCACACAAACCACATCTTATCTTTCTCAGTTCTTTGATTAGCAAGTCTATGCAGTATGTCTTTAGTTCTATAATCTATGTGGGAAATTTTGCAAATGTAGAGCATTTTTCTCTAAGTCACATTTTTCTCTGAGAGATGTGTCACAGAAATAGTAAAGCACAACAACCATTTACAAAGCATCAATGATAAATTATAAAACAAAGTAATTCTGAATTATAAAGTGATAACAAAACCTAAAGAATCTTCTTCATGTACCCTTTGGTCAATTCAATTTGTAACATTATTTTAATGCCTCAATAATGTTATCAATGTATTACCTGGATGGCTGCTTTTGGTGCAAAAAGAATGCAAAAGTCATCATTTTCAGCGGGCACACCTGTCATTGCATCACTGATCAAGTGGTGAGTGAATGAGGTATAAGTGGGGCCGGACTCCTGGGACACATTCCCACTCTCATCTGGAAACAGGAAGAGGTCTGAACAACATGGCTCCTGAATTTGAGATTTTTCATCCAAAACACCTAAATAAAAAGATTACAACATTTTGGTACACTTTGAAATACCATTAACACTTATTAAGTTTTTTTAATCATGTGTCAGATACATGTTAAGTACTTTCACCTGCTATAGCAGAGAACCTTATGAACATGAGACTTAAAGACAGCTTAAGTAACTGGCCCAAAAACACTTCAGCGAGAGTCAGAAATACATCAAAGACCACTAATAAAAAGACTAATAATAAATTTGAAGTTCTCTAAGAAAATAGTAAATGATAGTGTCATAAAGTAAAAGACAGTTCCTTCCCAGTCATTTGGCGCAGGAGAAGCTCAGGAATTCAGCAGCAGCAGCTTAGTGCTGACTGGAGTTTTGCTACAGCTGGGATTTTACCTTGAGAATTCTGTCCTGTGGGTGGAGCTCTGGAAGGAACCTCTTGGGCAATATTGCAAGAGGGGAAAAGTTACATTTAGCAGAGCCTCACCTAAATCTATAGGAAATCTCTGCTGCAGGGAGGGCAGAATAGTTGTTGAGCAAGCTTTAGGTAGGGGGAGGAAGGCAGTGATGCCAAGCAATGAATAGAAAACTACTTCTTGGGGTACCAGACACCCAAACAGCTCAGGCAGCTATCTCAATATGAAGTTCATAAAAGACTGCATGTACACTAAAAACTGTATATAAACATATATTTTTGCACTTTTATAACACATATTAGAGTCACTAATTCTTTCTCCATTCATTCATTCAAACAAGCACTATGAAGGGGCAGAGAACACTAAGATGAAACAAGTGATATTTTGGCCTCAAGAGACTCACAGACTAGATTTTAAATTCTTCTATGGCAGCACCTTGGACTTACTCATCCTTATAAATGCCCAGAGCCTAGAACAGAAAGTTGTATATTGAAGCCACTCAGTAAATATTCATTAAATATTCTTTCCATTGTAATTAAGATAGCTGCTAATGCTTATCACAAATAAGGTAGTACATACAACAAAGTTAGAAGTCCTAATTTGCTTCCTTAGTCCTAAATTATCCTTAATTAGAATGAAAGCAACATTTAATGCTAAACTTCTATAATACCGTGAAATAATGTTTTGAAATTAAGATTTCACAATATGTAAAAGTAGCTATGTCCATCCAATTAGAAAGAATACTTTCGAAACAGATGTTTTAAAATACTTAGATGCTTTCATTTGGCTTTCAAGGGTCTCTAATCACCTGGTCTATCTCTGCTTACCCAAATTTATTGTCTAATTCTCTTTAATAAGAAGGGAACTTTTGTTCTAGTACAGCCTGAATGTCATGGGTAAATAACTATGGCTCATGCATGCCTTTGTCTGTGTTCTGCTGATGTTAATGACCTTGCCAAGATTACCTTCATCCTCTCTATATACCTAAATCCTATCCACTTTTTAAAAGCCAATTCATCTCACTTTCACCAAAGTCTAACAAAATTACTCCAATCCTTTCCAAATAATGATAGAGTATACACCACATATGAAGTGTTTTCTTATACCATTTATGAATCAGTCTCAGTACTAGCATCGGTCTACTGCCCACTGGTCTTAACGGGCCATAAGCTATCAGAAAACGTAAGATTTGCCTTCCACTTGCTCTGTACCCCACCCCACCATCCCAGCCAGAGTTATTTATCTACTACTAGACGTCTACACAATAAACATGAGCTAATGGACTAACAGACATCCACCAAAACTCAGACATATCTTTTCTTTAAAAAGTTACTTATTAGATTTATGAGAACACAAATAATGTAAGCCTCAACTACAACATCAGTGCTCCCAGAGAAAAAGCCCCGACCTTACCGTTAGCCTGAGGTTTCACAGTTGAAGCGGCTTGCTGCACATCGATCTCCTCCATAGCATCACTCATCAGATCTCGCAAAATCTGTTGATCTGCTTCAGGAAGGACTGGACCACGTGAGGATGACCGACCACTGGAATCTACCTATAGCAAAAAAAGCCTAATTAAAAATAACTGAAAATGCTCTAAAGGAGCAAACTACTTACAATTATTTTACCCTAGAAATACACTACATTTTACAAAAACATCAGAAACAGGAGGCCAGGCATGATGACTCCTGCCTATAATCCTAGTACTTTGGGAGGCCAAGGCAGGATAATCACTTAAGGCCAGAAGTTTGAGAAACAGGAATCTACTCATTTTTCTATATTCTGTCCAGCAGCTGTTATATCTTAAGTTTTAGTATCACTGTTCTCACCCTAACAACTACTAGCAAATAGAAATAAATGTATTATCACCTCAAAGCCAGCACAGTGAACTGGGGCCTTGAAGAGGCAATACATTCAAAAAGAGGGAAATTTGTAAAAACTGCAGTAGTCTGGGCGCAGTGGCTCACGCCTGTAATCCTAGCACACTGGGAGGCTGAGGCAGGAGGATTGCTTGAGGTCAGGAGTTCGAGACCAGCCTCAGCAAGAGCAAGACCCTGTCTCTAAAAAAAATTTTAAAAAAATAAATAAATATTACAAAAATAAAGGTAAATAAAATAAAATAAAAAGTGCAATAAAGCTGAGGCAGAAAGGATAATTAAATATGTCTGATCTACTCAAATCTGATGGCTGCAATGACTTTCACCCCTTTGAAACAAAGCCACTGTAAGGCAAAGCCTCATTTCTTGGGACACCTAAGGACAGCAGGAGGCATACACAGGAAGGGAAATAATAAATGGCAATACACACAGGAAGGGAAATAATAAATGGCAATGACAGTTCCATTCCAGCACTGTCAACCATTTTGGTTAGTGAACAGTGGGTTCATTAAATCCCAGATCACACTTTTTAAATGAGAACATGACTCTAAAATTAAAATATGCAAATTGAAATGGATAATTTAAAATGACTTTGAATAAACTAGAAAATGTTTTTAAAAAGAGAATAAATGGTGAAGAGGGAGTGTCATAAATCACCTTATTACCAGTGAGAATACAGGAGCAAACAGAAATGTAACACAAAGTGTAAGATAATCCTCAACAGGTCCTTACGAGAGTAAATTAGAGGCCCTATAAGCTAAGGAGACTGAGAATTCTGTTCACAGAAGAGCCATGAAGAAGAATAACATTGGGGAAAAAATGCCCCAAAAATGGACATTGTTCAAACTGGATATAAGGGAGGTCAAAAAAGTGACACTTGGGGCATAGCAAGCATTGAATTGGGAACCAAAATACCTGGGTCTTTTGCTGTTTCTGCTACTAATTGGAGATAATCATCTAAATTCTCTGGGTCTATTCGTCTGTAAAACAAAATACTAATCTGGAACCTCTCTACCTCACTGGGTTATCATGAAAGGAAAAGAAAATCACAGATGAGAAAGTATAATGAAAACTGGATAGTCTTAGAGATAACAAATAGGGAAGATATGCTTATATAAATAAGTCTCTGATAACAATACTAGTACCTGCCAGCTATAAGGTTATTAAGTATGAAATGTCCAATTTTTTGATATTTCTGACATTTCACTTAGATACTTCTTGTTTCATTTTTATTGTGAAGGTACATACTCAGTCTTGCAAACGCATGGTTTGGCTTGTGATTATCTTTCAAATTGTTTTTAGAGCAATTTTTGTGAAACCATGGATAAGTAAAAAATTCGTGTTATTTTCAAATATAAGTTCTGTTATAGAACCAATGCAGCACAGACAGCTCAAAATATCAACGAAGTGTTTGGGAAGGATGTGGCTAATGAAGGCACAGTACAACGATGGTTAGAGAAGTTTTGTTCTGGTAATTTTAATATTGAAAATGAACTACATGGGTGATCTGAGACCAAGGTTGGATAATGATGAGCTGAAAGCTATAGTGGAAGTGACTACATCTCAACCTCCGTGTAAATTAGCAGAAAGATTCGATGTTACTATTCCAACAATACTGGACCATTTGAAACAAACTGGCAGGGTAAAGAAGCTGGATAGATGGATCCCACATGAATTAAAGAGCGTCACAGGAGAAATTGTCTTGAAGCTTGCCTTTTTGTGCTATCACGACATAAAGGTAAACCACTTCTACACTGTATTGTATGTAAGTGTGATGAAAAATGGATTCTTTTTGACGATCACAAGCATTCAGCACAATGGCTGCATAAAGTCGAAGTGCCAAAACAGTCCAAAACCAAATACTCATCAAAAAAAGCTAATGAGGCCTATTTGGTGGTCCAGCGCTGGCATTATTGACTACAGCTTCATGAAACCTGTTCAGTCATTTATAATGGATGTCTACTGAAACCAACTGGACAAAATGATGAGGATGCTTGTGATTAAGCAGCCAAGATAGGTCAACAGAGATAGGCCAATCCTCTTGCAAGACATCGCTCACCAACACGTCGCACAAACAACACTGCTCAAACTACAGAAGCTGGACATGGAAACTCTCTATCATCCACCATATTCAGCAGACCGTGCACCAACTGACTACCACTTTTTCCGGGCTTTGGACCACTTCTTGCAAGGAAAAATATTCAATTCTCAACAAATGCCTTTGGCGATTTCAATACCACTCCAGGTTTCTGTGCTGCTGGCATAAACAAGCTGCCGTTAAGATGGCAAACCTGTGTTGATAGTTTAGGTGCATACTTTGATTAACTGTACTGCTTCTTGTTTAAGATATAATAAACTACACTTTTGATTCAAAATTTCATATTTAATGACCTAATATCTTCTCATAGCATTTTTACCTGCAACTTGTATATAACAAGCTCTTTTGTGATAAATGTTTTCTTTCTTCCCTGAGGACAAATGAAAATAACTTAATTCTGGAAAAAAGTATTATGTTAGTTAAAAAGATTAATGCTAGGAAAGAATATCAAACAGTAAAACTGGCCTTTCCAAAAAAGCCCACAGAATCACCTTTCCAGACCCCATTATTCTGAAGGCAAAGGATAGATAGATGACTTTTCAAGTTTCATTTCTACCCTATGACTGTCATGAAGACTTCACTGATATAAAATGTCACTGACATGGCAGGGATTGGAGGAATAACATTGCTGACTATACCTTTGACTTTCTTTGAGGGGCTCCAGCCTTCATTTCTGCCTTGTTAGGTCCATGTAGGTCACCATAGCTTGCAATGTACTGAATGAGGTTCATTAGTGCAGCACAAGAATCTGAGCACGTTCTGATATGGACAACATCACTGGAACAGTGTAACTCAAAGCGGGGCTCAGTCTGGATAAGACACAGGAAAAAAAGTATGAAAATATCTTCCACACAAGAGAAGAAAACTGCTTTTTGTGCTTAGATTTAAATATATGATAATTTCTCTTGCCACAGAAAAAAATGTATTTACAATAACTCAATCTTAGTTTTAAAATATTTTATCTATTTTTTGACTGAAAGTAGGCAAATGGAAAAATGATTTTATGGTAAATCCAACTTTTTTAATCTCAAGAAATAAGACTCAAACAAAAATTTCCATTTATTTTAATAACTTACTTGCTCTCCATCAGAATCAGACTTCACTGCAGTTATGGTTAATTCCAAGAGGCCCATATCCATCACACGAACATAATCTATAATTTTTTAAAGTAATAAAATGTATGAGTACAGGTTTGAAAAAATGCTTATCTAACCACTACCTAATAAAACTAGCATTTCTCTAAAATCCCTTGCAGAGTGCTACAAATATTTATGATGCAATGGAAATATAGTTTTATTCTACAAAAATCCCACAATTCATTTTTTCTAGTTAGAAACAAAATTTGTCTCATATTAATATTTCATGTATATATATAGTAATTTGGTGCAATTAACTTATAAGAACGTTATAACTTCAAATTGAAAAACCAGTATCTGAAAAAATGAACTCTGAATACATGGGACATGATCACTATATACTTAAAGATCCTTTAATCTTTAGGGATCTTAATAAGATCCTTAGTTCAGTGGCATTACCTCAGAGTTAAAATCCTTTAAAATAGTCACACACAAAAAATAAAGCAGCATATATCTACACCAGGTTTGTTTTTCAACACTTACCTCTACTCAGATTTACAGTGACAGTATTACATTTGTCAGACAGATGTAAAGCAGCTTCATCCAAGATTATTCTGAGGCAAGAAAGAGAAAACCAACAACCGAAAAACTTAAGGTTTGAATGTCATACCACATGATCACTATATCCATAACTGCATCATTCTTTCTGCTATGAACATTATCAAATCGTATGCTGTTTCTAACATAATTGTCATCTAACATTTTTTTTAAAACTCACTGTTTATGAGTGCTAGGAATAAACAGTGTAAAGAATTAGGTTAAGTTGTCTGGTCAAATTAATTCTAAATTTTGAGCAGATTTTTTTCTTAATAGATGTCCAAATTCACAAGGTTTAAATTATAAAGATAAAAGTCTGTCAAATATTATGTGAAGTTTACTATATGTTTTAAAAACAAACTAAGAATCTCCAGAATTTTTTCCTTAAAAATGAAATGCAATAATGAAAGTGCTGCTGGAATGAGTCACGTGAGAAAGAAAAATTGAGTAACTTGGATAAAAGGATGTGATTATTAGTTAAAAAAATTGATTTTAACAAAACATGGAGACTTTAATAAAATGGCTTAAAGGGTGAATATCGATTAGTATGTTCTGAGCAGCTATATTTAGTATATAATAAAGTTTACACAGGTACCTGAGAGTAGAAGAAGATTTATCCAATGCAACGCTACTAGAAACACTGAATGTTTCAACAGTAAGAAGAGATCGGATTGGCAAATAAAGGGGCCTAATATCAAAAAGAAACAACAGAGTATCAGTTTGATACAACATCAGAAACTCTCTTAAAGAAAAACATTTTGAACATTAACTCTATTGAATTATGGTTTTTTTCCCCAAAACGTTTTACATATTTTGATCAATAGAACTTTATTTTGGTCCATTTGTAAACTTACCTATAATCAAGTGCACAGCTCCAAAGATGAACATGAAAAGTTGTAAATGAAGTTGGAGGATTATAACCCAAAACAGGTTCATCGGCAATATTTAAGAAGTATAAAATCTACAATCACAAAAATATAAAATGCCCTGCTTTAGAAGAAAAAAAAGTTTTGATATAATATCCTTAATACCAATGTAAAACAGAGTATCTCAAGTCAAAGCAACCATTAAATTGGAAATCATAATGCTAAAAGAAAAATATCATCATTTTGAAGAAATTCATTTCAAAAAGAACTTGACCCCAACCTCACAAAAAAGGTTAACTATGGAAGGTGATAATGTTTATTTGTTTGACTATACTAATCATTACACTATGTACATGTATATCAAAATATCATGTTGCACATCATAAAATATATACAATAAAAAGTACTTGCAAAATTAGAATTTGAAATGAAGAAGCCCATCCAACAATTACAATGCTACAGAAACCTTAGAAAGCCATACTTTATGAAATTAGTAACAAAATATGCATAATATAATTTCAGATTATTTTGCTTGGAACAATTCTTGAAAAAATACATTTTGCTGAAAACTTCTTAAAATCAGATTGATATTTGGTTTTCTATATAACCTTTACAGGGGGAAAATCTGGTTGTTTTATATAACTAGTTGTTGCAGAAAGTTCTTTTTGCTTAATTTATGCCTACTTCAGCCTAAAGTCCCTCTCACCAACCCTATTCTCTTGTACTTCTAATCTAAGCAAAAAAAGAGGTTATGTTAAACCTCTCCCTAACGGCCAGTTAGTGTTCATTCTAACCATTTCTCCATGCCTACCAAGTAGATAGACAGATCTCCTGTTTCCTAAATGCTTTAATGAGAAAAGCACTTTGAAAACATTCAAGCTTTAAAATTATTTTCTTCCCCAGCACAACTAAAAGGTTCCTCTTTCCAAGGAACATGAGAAAGAATCGGTGGACCAGTTATCATTCTCACATAAAGAAAAATTAACTTCTTACTCAAAGTTTCCTCTGAAAAATAACCAATTGTATTTTTTTTTTTTTTTTTTTTCGCTTTGTTGTCCAGGCTAGAGTGAGTGCCGTGGCGTCAGCCTAGCTCACAGCAACCTCAAACTCCTGGGCTCGAGCGATCCTTCTGCCTCAGCCTCCCGAGTAGCTGGGACTACAGGCATGCGCCACCATGCCCGGCTAATTTTTTATATATATATCAGTTGGCCAATTAATTTCTTTCTATTTATAGTAGAGACGAGGTCTCGCTCTTACTCAGGCTGGTTTTGAACTCCTGACCTTGAGCAATCCGCCCGCCTCGGCCTCCCAGAGAGCTAGGATTACAGGCATGAGCCACCGCGCCCGGCCACCAACTGTATTTTATTGCCATGAAGAGTTATTCAACTGGAAATTAATTCCAGAAATCCCAAAAAATACCTTAAAGCAGTATCATATTATTGGCCTAGGCAATAACATGGAAATCACAGCACTTAAAGAACTTCTGGTTATAAAAGTAATTCAACACACCATTCCTCTAAGCCAGGCACTCTACAGGTCTTTGACACAAAGTCCCTTTCCTTCCTTTAATGACATAAAAGACAATTCTGTCATTGAAGTTTTAGGACCACATATCAAGGTAAAAATATCAATTACATTCTGACATGATAATAATGTTCTGTGTCTTAACCTAAGAAGGTGGTTACACAGTAGTGTTCACTTCACTATAATTTACTGAGCTAAACATTTATGACTTGTCAACTTTTCAGGATGTGTATTATATGTCAACATAAATTTCAAAATAACTTGATACACACATAACACCTCCCTTACCTGCTCATGCCAGCTAAGCCCAGAAGGAAGCATTCTATGCTGGAGAGTGGCTCCCTTCAGTCCCACAGCAATCAGAAATTCCTACAGAGAACAACAATACAAAGAACTGTATTTATCACCCATGTTACTCTATAACCCAAAAGTTTTTCCAAGAAAATGTATTGCCTAGTATGCAATTATTTTTAGCTAGTAATCAAATCAACAACAAGTATTAATGGTATTAAAGTACAAAACACAAACCTTTGTATTGGACTCTGATTTATCAGACAATATTTTAACTGCAACAGAGAGCATATTTGAACTCTCTCCTCCAACACCATCTGAAGAACCTCTACTGAGGCCGTCTTCTTCAGAGGAATAAATAGTAGGTTCTAACCAATGTGGGTGGGTTGAACTGGGCAGTCGTGCTTCTGTGGGAAGAATCACTCCATCCACTATGCCTATATTCACATTGAGGTAAAAATATTTAAAAAAAATGATTACTCAAAATTAGTTCATGGACTTCCAAAACTCCAAACAAAAATCTATGTAGTTCCATTGAATATAATATAATCCTGGAGGCATAATGACCAAAAACTAGCTTTAATTAATAATCCATTAATTAAAGGCATTAATAATCCACTCCTCCTTACTAATGTTGATATGACTAACATTGCACAACTTAAGGGGAAAAAAAATAAGCTAAGATTCTGAAATGCTAGGAAGATTAAATTTAAATAAGAAAATCTCATACATAAACATGGAGAAAATATAAGCATCTCATTTCCATTCACAAGGTAACTCAGGTAACTGCTCAAAAATGTTCTATTTCTGAAATCAAAAGGGAATATTCCTTGAGAGGGAATAAAGAACATAAAGTCCTGAAACCTTAAAATCTGTACCCCCATAATATGCCAAAATAAAAAAAAATTAAAAAAAAAAAAAAAAAGAACATAAAGTCCTATCAACTGATGAACTGATCCCTAAGATGTGACATATCTATACAATGGAATATTATTTGGCAATAAAAAGTAATGAAGTACTGATGTAACTTGGATGAACCTTGAAAACACCATGTCAAATGAAAGAAGTCAGTCACAAAAGACTAAATATTGTATAATTCTATTTATATGAAATTTCTACAACATGAAAACTCCACAGAAGCAGAAAACAGATTAGTGGCTGCTTAGGAGTGGTAGAGTGGTATAGCTAAAGTATATGAAGTTTCTTCTTGGGGTGATGAAAATGTTTTAAAATTCACTCTGGTGATGATTTCACAACTCTACAAAAAAACATTGAAATGTACACTGTAAATGAGTAAATTGTATGGTATGTGAACTATATCCCAATAAAGTTGTTACAAAAAAAGAACATAAAGTTGACTTCTATTAAGAATTTACAGTATTATTTTGACAATGGAATCAGAATCCCCCACAGAAAATAGTTTATATCAAAGTTCTGTTCTCAACATTCTCTTTATTAAACAAGAAATTCAAGCATGTCTAAACAGAAGCGAACAAAACACACATTTTTCCTACCTTTGTGATATAGACTGAAACTGCTAGAATGAAGGCATATGTAGTGCTTGTCATCAAAACCTTCATATTTTGTCACGCAAAATAATGAACCACTATTGAACTCTAACCAGAATTCACCATGTTTGTTTTCCAACATATCTCCATTATCTTGCTAGTAAAAAAGTCAGAAAAACACAGATGTCATTATTTAAACACAGAAAAGTAAGAATGTCCCTTGGGATGCTCCTTCTTGATTCAGCTTAGGAAAATCTCCTACATCACAGCAAAGCAGTTTAATTCTTGGTTCATTCAATACAGTGGTACTAAAAACTAAATAACTTATTAAATAAATATTATGTGAGACCTCTTCTGTCAAATGAATCCCTGTACTTCATCCTCCTTCATCACAAATTACCAGTTACCACCCCTCAGGATTAGCACCTGTTTTCAAAAGAGAGGGCCACCCAAAGTTGGACCTGCAATGAAACCTAAATCCTCAAAAGTTGCTGTCATCATGGTGTGCCTCAGAACACTGGTCTTCATCAGTCACTGAAACACCCTCAAGCTACTTCAATCACTGGATGTGTATCATAGCAGATTTATCTAAAATAAAATACATTTGAAAAAACACTTTGGATTTGTAAACCTTACCTTCACGTCTGTGTACACTGCCATTAATCCATGATTAATGCTCAGAAGAACTGAGAGAAAACTCTGTGAGTTCTTGTTCTGAGAATCTAATTTTTTTTTCCTACGGGAACGATAGTTGGGATCAACAGTGGAAAAATACTGCAAAGTCTCCTCCTCAGATCCACTCTCCTCATCTGTGAGAAATAAACACACGATTACATGGTTCTGATAGCTTATTAAAATAAAATAGGAACCTAAAAATTATTACAAAAATATTTTATATTTGTAACCTGCTTATTTTTACTAACAAACATGGTGTGACAATAAAAATATACTTTCTATGTTTTTCTTTTTTAGTCCTGAGTTTCAAACAATCTGCATACTATTATTCTAAAAATAACGTATTTAAGTGAAAATGATATTCTCAATATACAAAGAAATGGAGAAATACTCTTATACATTACTAAAAGAAATTATAAAATATAGTCACAATGAAAAACATAGTAAAAGAAATATTCTTAAATCTACAACTGAAAAGATTACTACTTTGTTAATTGATAAACTAGGCATTTTAATTCAGAACAAATTAAAAATATATTACCATAGTGAACTGTAGATTTAAATGGACTAAAACTATCTTTATTGAAGGTATTAATCAGTTGACTGGCTACTGAAAGCCCAATACCATAGGAAATATTTTCTAATGTCTCCACTGGTGAAGGAGCTGTTGGCTCCCATAGTAGCAAGTCATTAAAGATCCTATAAAGACAAAAGATGAAAAATAAGTACATAATTCCTACTTCAATTGAAGGCAAACTAAAGTATCCTTTTAAGAGATCATATGATCAATAATTTTTTTAAATGATGAAATGGAAATTAGATCCTGCAAAAGAATTTTAAAAACAATAACAAGAAGAACAATTGTGTTCTTTCAACAGAAAAGAACTGATATGGCTATAATGCAGGGCAGTGATAAAAGAATCTGCACAGACACCTGCACAGATACTTGCCTGGTTTTACCTGTGTTATATGCACCAATTACAAATTCATATTGTACTTCTAAATATACTTTAAAGACAGAAGCCAATTAAAAGTAATAACCCACAAAAAAACAAAAGGAAGACTGTTCACATACGAGAGCACTTTGTAAACGAGAACTGATCAGGCATCGTCTCATTTGACTCTCCCATCAACTCTGTGGGGCGTCTAGAGGAGAATCATCATTCTTACTTTACACTTCAAGAAATTGTCTCATAAAGGGTAAGTCACCCTGCCCGAGGTCACACAGAGCTGGAATTAGAGTCTAGATTATGTTCACCTTCCAATCAAGTTCTTTCTTTAGAGATATCTGCTTTTTTTTGTTGTCGATAGAAAGCCCAACTTCACTGGGAAGATGTCATGAGATGAAGAATCATGTGGAGTAGGGAACAAGGAGAAGAAAATCTTTCAAACCAGCTAGACTAACCCAATCGATACTGGCGAGCAATAGGGTTGACAGATGTCTCGGCTAGGCTACTACACAACCTACCCTTTCAAAGAAATACTCCTCACTACTCAGATGCTCTTCTGGCCTAGCCTCTTCCCCTCACTCACCCTCTAAGCTCTTAAGAAAATGCAGACTTTACAATGTCTCCTAGGAAGCCTTATCAGATTTGGACCCACAGCACATCCTTCACACATACCTATTTAGACCACAGCTCCCATAACACTCTCCTGTGTTTCCTCATTTCCCCTTCCTGGACTGCACAAATCTCTTCCTGACAGAGACATTTGTGTCTCATCATCTCTGTATGTACCTAGCACAGTGGTGTCACATAACAGGCACTGACAGTAAATGAGCAGAGGTTAGGAGGGTGACTCGCATGGAAGGATTGCCAAAGCACAGGCTCATCGTAAAGCCCAGTGTGAATACCATGCCAGGTGCCAAGTGCTGAGCCAGCCCTTCCCCTCCTATGAGAAGCCACTTCTCAGGCCAATTCCTGAGCTTCTGAAGCCCTAGAAAGTATAAACAGTACTGAGAGTCACAGTAGATTATTAACTGAATTTACAGTATAATCTACTATGACTCTCAGTAGATTATAATCCCCACCCAAAAAGGTTTCTCTTTGGAAGCATCACTACGTTAAGAATACCAGGGATAAAGGACAGAAAGATGCCATATCTCAGACACACTGACAACTATGCCCCAAAACTCTGTGGTACAAATGCAGCTTACTGCTTCTTGGGCATATTACAGGACAAAGAAACAAAAGAGTATAAATCCAGATCTTGGCCTAAACTATAATTAAATAATGAAGGTATGACATGAAGAATTTCCTCAGGAAATGCTCTTCCTTTACTTCATTCCCTACCAGCATTCTCTTATCTTCTTATAAGTTAAAAGAAAACTATTACTTTAAATAAGATATATGTATATGATATGTAACCTGTAAGTATAAGTTTCACATGATTTTACTGTTTCCTTATTTATATTTTAGTCTAAGGGCCGTCTTGACACCATTAATACTATAAAGCATTGGATGGTATTTCTAACATTAAGAAAGAAAAAAATACTTAATATATTTAAGGACATATCACCATGATTCTATGTCCATGAGCCTGAAATACAACAGACACTCATTAAATATTTGATTTATAAAACCAGTTGGAATTCTTTTTTATATTCTATATTAAAGGACTTTTGACATAGAAAAAAATTCTCCTGTACCTGAAATAGTCTTTCTAAAGAGAGCCAGTTGACCAAAGCACTACAGGAATAAACTGCTATTTTAAATGTATGAAGTACAAGCCGAGCTGGTTATGACCCCTGCTCAGAAAAAAAAAGATTTTATAAAAAGGCAAAAGGACAGTATTCAGACATTTAGTAAAACTCAAATGGGGTACGAGGATTACATTGTAGATATCCATATTAGCGTCCTGATTCTGGTGGTTGAATTATAGCTATATAGAACGCCCTTATTTGTGAGAAAGTCACAACAATGCCCATTTAACAAACTACCCAGATTAACAGATATTCTAATCCCTGATTTAAGCAATCAACTGCCCAATCCCTCTCAACTGGCATAATGATTGATGTCCCCATGTGCTAACTGCATGCTGCTGGCAGACTGCTCTCTAGACAGTTCTCACCTGAGAACTTCCACTCCTACCAGCTGAGTTAGATGTTTTATATATTCACCAAGGATCAGTTGTGTTTGGCATCAAATCTGCTTGTATTTGTTGCTGTAAGTATAGTTTAATTAAACACTGTGCTAATTTCAAGTATGCAGACTGAGGTTAAAAAAAAAAAAGAATCTCAAAAACTTACAAGGATTCTGCACTCTGTTCACTTTGAAAATATATATTTTTTATTCCATCTTAAAGAAACTGGAACTAAAAACTAAAGGCAATGCCTCCTGGGTGTATACTTTATGCACAAATAGACAAAATGGAATTCCAATCAGTGGCTGACACTCAAAGAAAAGGCCTTGCTGGGCGCAGTGGCTCATGCCTGCAATCACAACAACTTGGGAGGCTGAAGCGGGAAGACTGCTTGAGCCTGGGAATTCAAGACCAGCCTGGACAAGATAATGAGATCCCACCCCTTTAAAAGAAATTAGCCGGATGTGGTGGCATGCACCTGTAGTCCTAGCTACCTAGGAGGCTAAGGCAGGAGGATCAACTTGAGCCTAAAAGTTCAAGGTTGCAGTGAGCTCCAATCACACAACTGTACTCCAGAGTGGGCAACAGAGCAAGACCCTGTCTCTGAAAAAACAAAGAAAAGGCCTTGTCCTATATTTAGAAATGTAGTGAATGAATATACATTTATAAATCAAATGTTTAAGGTATGTATTACTGGTCTTGATGTCCTGATTTAACCAAAAGCCATCTGCTCAATCAATGCAGAATAAGTCAAGCCCTTCTGATCTCTGGGCTGGGCCTTGAAGGAATCATTTCATTTCCCTCTACCTTAGCCTTGCATGTGTATGAGCTCTTAGCAGACATCCTTCAACTATAAAATAAGGGGAGAAGACTAGAGATCAGCAGTTTCCAAACTTCAGATCATGTACAAACAAATCCAACAGTTAAAAATAATTTGTGAACACCTCTAATTTGAATTTATGTGAATTTAAGTAATACTATTTACCATGTAGATTATAAAACAAATATTAAAAATATAAATTTTAGGGCCGGGCGCGGTGGCTCACGCCTGTAATCCCAGCACTCTGGGAGGCCGAGGCGGGTGGATTGCTCAAGGTCAGGAGTTCAAAACCAGCCTGAGCGAGACCCGGTCTCTACCATAAAAATAGAAAGAAATTAATTGGCCAACTAATATATATAATATAAAAATCAGCCGGACATGGTGGCGCATGCCTATAGTCCCAGCTACTCGGGAGGCTGAGGCAGGAGGATCGCTTGAGCCCAGGAGTTTGAGGTTGCTGTGAGCTAGGCTGACGCCACGGCACTCACTCTAGCCTAGGCAAGAAAGCGAGACTCTGTCTCAAAAAAAAAAATATATATATAAATTTTAAAGGAGGTTTTTTAAAAATTTAAATAGCAATGCTAACATTTTCTTCCTATACCCTAATGGACTGTCTTGTGAATCTCATTTTTAAGACCACTGAACTAATGTGGACCCTAAGATCCTTCCTGGAACTTAATTTTCTAAGACCAACAGTCAATGGCAATCAGTTAAGGAATAAAGGGCCAGGGATATCTGACACCAAGAAAACCTACATCAGAAACAGAGTTTAGAGTTTTTGAAGACTAGTGGAAATTAGAATAACTTGTTTACATGTGGGAAATTGGTGATGACAAACACTAGGCCTTCTTTTTCTAGGAAACCCAACATCCTTTAGGGATGCTATAGAAGAAATCCCTTCAGTGGGTGGGAATTATAATAAAAGACAATTACTAAGTGCTTACTATATGGCAGATACTATTCTCAGATTCTCCAAGTGTCCTGTCATTTAATCCTCCCAACAACCGTTTGAGGCAGAACCAATATCATCTCCATGTTGCAGGTAAGGAAACTGAAGCTTATACAGCCTACGTCAATTGTCCAAGGTCAACAGAGTCTAAGACCTAGAATTCCATTTATTTCAACATATTTGTTTGGTATATGTGTTGAGGGATATTTAAATATGATAAATTTAAATTTTTATACACAAGTTTATACGTCAGAGTTTAGAATTCCAACAAAATACCTTTCTGAATTCTGAGGAAAGCTGTTCCTTGTACAATGACTCTAGCATTCTGATTCTACCCCAGTATCTGCTAGCCCTCTGCACAAGTATCTCCTAACTCTTCATGTCACTGCACGTGTAGAAAAGATAGCATTTGCTTGGTATCCTGCAGTAAGCTGACAGGGGGCAACCAGCCAACCTGAGGGCTGAGTAAATAAGTATCTCACACGCCAGTAACTGGGCACCAGACACACTGGTTAGGAAACCGCTCTGACAACAGCTCATCACAATGGTAACAGTTCTATAGTCACCATTAACACCATACAAAGAATACTGACAAGGTAGACAGTATTCACAGCAAGGAAAAAAAAGAAGGGGGAACAGGGAGACAATTAGACAGAAAATGATTCCAAAGATGCAAGTAACTGTGTTTAAACTTACCTATTATAAAGCTTCTCATAAAAGTTCTTATTAGGTAGTGTTATATGAATATTTGGTAGCGTAAGTTCCAACACAAAGTGAGAATTGCTGATTGCTTTATCCTGAAACTCTGTCATTTCTACAAGGTCTCCTGGCATCACCATCTAAAACATAGTTTAGTGCAAAAAAGGGCATCAAATAATTATTTTATTTTTAAAATAGTACCATCTTCTTCATATATCCACAGGACTTGGTATGTGAACAAATAAATAAGCATGTAATATTTAACCCTTTGCACTCACTTGCTTTTTTCTCGATTCCTTTATTCTACTTGGGATTTAATTTTTTAAATACCCCAGATTTTACAAAGCATAAATAAAAAACTGGAGTTTCTTTTCATACAAACTTATTTGGATTTCTTTATATTTCAAATTATTGATACATTCAAAGAGTAATTTTAATCTCTATAATTTTTGCTAACCATGTCAAGTCACACTCAACATCCAAGTGCAAAGGGTTAACCAAGGAAAATATACATCAAGAAAAAAAACATATTGTTCAATCTTGGAGTTAAAAATCTACCAGAAACAACATAAAAGCATTTTGTAAAAAATAAAAAATTAAAAGCATTCCTATATGACAGAGGACAACAGTGCTCCTCTGTTGCTCACTCACACTTTTATCCTACCTGCTCATTTTCAAACATTACTCTACGAGAAGAAAAAGGAGAGGGGGCCGGTCTTCTTAGATCACAAACATCTTTCAGGGAATGAGCACCTCCTTCCTCTTCTTCCTGGTAGTGACCATCATTCTCTTCTTCTTCCTCAGCTGCTATTCTCTCCAAAATGGAATGCATGGCTGGTGGATTTATTTTCAGTACAATACTGATAGCAGTGACAATAAAAAAAGATCAAGATGTAAGTGTAAACAACAAAACTGTCGCTTTTGAGCAAATTAATACAAAGACCACAGACTGAATCTTAATGATAAGATTAAACTTCTCTACAAAGTCTAATTATGTCTAACATAACCCACGTATGAATGTGTTGTAAACTTGAAAGTATGGAACTAAAACAAGTAAATAAAAGATATTAACATTTCATACTTGGCTACTGAAAGTCTGACTTTTTGAGGGCAAAAAGGATTATTTTGAAATTTCATTAACAGCCAGCAAACTTTACTTAAGAATTCTGTAATAGTTATTATCATTAAACCAAATCCTCTCACACAGTCTGTTCTGCTTTAATGGAATATATGCCTATATAAGAAAGCCAATGATATATAAATTGTTCAAATGGAAACACAACAAATTGATTTAGGGAATGGCTTTAGAACTGCAACAACAAATTTATTTTTACCTCTAGGAATTTCAATAGAAAAGGGCTTGTGTTACTGTTTTGTAGCCACAAACTTAAATATCACTGAGTTAATGCAGCCTTTGACTTGACTACAAAAGGTAAAGAGCTTTTGCTCCAGAGAAATCCCATCCATTTCCTCATCTTCTGCAGGACATCGCTAAGCACAGGCTTTTTATTCTTCTTTTATCACCATATAAATCCACTATTATGATGAGGGAGGGAACCCTCAAACAAAATAGCTGTGTTGCACCTATAATAATTTTTTTCCCCTAAGAAGGTGGTATCATTTGGTTCGAGTAAACTATAACAAACTGTTTCCTAATTTATGGAAGTCCTAATATAAATTGTACTTCCAAATTACTTAACTGAAGTAGATCTAATTCTCATGATGAAAACTTATACCCTAAACACATGTTCATTATCAGGCATGTACTTACAATGCCTGTCCTAAGAATCTGATAGGTCTAATACATAGTGGAGAGAAGGTGTAAACAAGTGCAGGCGGGAAAACGGCACCAAAAGGATCATTTTAATATTTTAAGAGTCTACAAACAGTGTTAAATATAATAATGAATCACTATATCAAGTAAACTAAGTTCTTTTAAATATTAATATGATCCAAGCCTACAATTAGGCTAATGTAATTTAAAGAATGAGTCCTCCTGCCTAAGAAATCCTGAAATAGTGGATCTCAAAGTCCAGCTGCATAATGACATCACCTGGTATCATTTTTAAAATACACTGATGCCCAGGCCCTATCTCAGAATCTTAGAGTAGGGCTCAAGAATCAGTATTTTGTAAAACCTTCCCAGATTTGAAAAACATTGTCCTAAAGCAATAAAAGATTATAACATTCATTTGACAATTAAGTAAATGGTACCTTATATCTCTTCTACTATAGCCTTGAAGTATTTTTAAAATGGTAAATGATTACTTTGTCCCTCTCTTTAGACTAGGTAACTTGAGATCAAAAAATAAATTTTATACTTCCTTATCTCTCTCACACTATCTAATATATACATGTCATAGAGTAGTGATGAATAATTTTTTTTAACTTGTCCATCTTCCTCTGGGTTCTCTCATCAAGGCTGAATATTTTTAGCTTAAACGTAATGCCAAAATGTTGGTTAAAGGATGATACTATTTTATTTTTTAAAAGAAAATCCCATTAAACCTATATATTTGCTTCCTCACCGTGGCCAGTCAAAGTCATCTGATGATGCTGTATCTCCATCTACTCCACTAGACACGTGGAAAAACTTTACAGATGGTTCTCCTTTATCTTCCTGGAATGACCCTAAAAAACAAGACTGATTTACTGAAAAGCATTTCTTCTGAAGTGCTAAAAGAAAAGATCCTCTCAATCAGGAACAAAATGCAGCATTAAGTTCTATAGCATTTATTCATTTGTTCCTGTTTCATGTGTACATCTGGTAGACAGGATGAGCAGATAAATTAAAGATGCTATTTTGTGTTCACACTCAAATTCTTAATTACCAATGTTTAATGTATATGATGCATCATAACATAGTAAAAATATAGCAGTTACCACATACTGAGTGCTATTAATTATTTCTTCATAAAAGAAAAGTTTGTACAATTAATCTACCACTCACCCTGACACACCCTGAGCTCCTATCCAATCCAAGGGTATGATTCTCATCAAATGGCTCTAAGAAATATAATAACTACATTTCTTAAATGTGTATTTTATAGCAAGCACTGTAAGAATTACCTCTAGTCAAAATAACTCTATACATGTTTTTTCATTCCATTTTACAAAAGAAGAATGGCTTTCCTCCAGAATGAGTTTCTTGCCACTGGAGATAAGGGACAATCAGATCTAAAAGCCCTTTCAAGAAGTCATAATTGGCAAAGTCAATTGTAAATCTCTCTTAAGATACGTAAAACTCTTAATAAGGGAAGGGAAAATCCTGCAGCCTAGTCCCATAAAGGGGGTGGAGGTAGGAGTGGGAGTGGGGCAGTGGAGTGTGGTTATGGAGGGAGGGTGGCAGAGGAAGGTGGTTTAGGAACCACAAGATGAAAGATCTTCCAGAGTTATTTACAGACTTGCTTCAATGTAAGTTGCATATGTATATACTTTTATACATATGCATATACTTTTCCCTTCATTAACTGAAAAGTAATGCAGAAAAACCCCAAACGGATTTTACAAAGTAAAACTTTGCACCAAAAAAGGGAAAGTAATGCAGAAGAACATAAAACAGGTTTTACAACGAAAAGTCATGAGATTAGTTAGTATACTGGTTGAAAGTTCAAGCTGTCATGTCAAACTTGGGTTTGAATCTTGATTCTGCTGTCTACTACAATATGATCCTGGAAGATACCTCCTTCTAAGTCCATGGACTGCCTTATCTATTAAATTATAATTAGATAAAATAAGCACATGGTGATTATGATGATTGAAGGGAACAAGATAATGTCTGTGAAGTGCTTGGCACAGTACCTAACGTATAGGGCAGCACTCAATACATTCTATTACCAGCCCTACAACAAGTAAGTGATAGGTGGTAATAAAAATGTAGACTAAAGCACTGCATTCCCTTGTAGAAAATAAGTATTTTAACAAAATGACTAAATCATCATCCTTAGTAATTTTTTAAAGGACTTACATCGCATATCTATATACAATATGGGGGAAAAGTTGTTGCTCTTGTTTCCTAACATAAGGTTCTTTAATTTTACTATATTGTGTGGCTGTCAGATACTACTGTAATATAAGTTTCAGTAGCAGCTGTCTGTATCTAGTCTGGCTCTTTCACAGGCACATTGTCTTACCAACTAGTTCTCTAAACGTAAGTTCCAATTTAATTTGTTCTGGAGTTGATCCTCCTATAAATTCAGTCTTAAATTCTAGATCTGTGAATGCTAAATGAAGGATCTCCTTCTGAAGTGACTTCTTAAACCACGGTCCTCTTTCTTGATCTGATCGAAGATCAGGTATTGGGAAGCGAACAGAAAGGTTTAATGCTGGTGTGGCAACTTGTACTGATATCCGACAATTTGCAGGATTATGTGAATCATCTAGAAATACTTCAGTGAAAGCCTTGTGCTAAAACATAAAACATAAAAAATATGCCAAAATATTAAATTCAGTAAGTATACATAAATGACATTAGTATTCAACATTACAGTATGTACAATCACTATTTCCCCACTCAGTATAATGCAATTCAAATTAACTATTACCATGCTAGTCCAGTGTAAGGAAATTTTATAATGCAACAAGTACTGGCAAAACTACTGGCAAAAGTTAAATAAACCCTGACATATTATACAAAAACAAAAATAAAGGTAAAAACTGAACCAAAGTGAAGACAAAGCTACTATAGATGCATATATATCTTACTATTAATATAAACTGAAAAAGAAGTGTGTAAATCAGCCTATTGACAAATTCAATATGGTTAAAAATCACTATAGTGTCCAACATTTAATCTGAAGGATTTATCTACCAATATGCTACTTTAAGGACAATATGAAATCAGATGATTGATGCCAAATACAAAGGCCTATCTCTGACTCATCTTTGTATTTCCAGGACTAAGATCAGAGCTTGGCACATCATAGGATCTAAATAAATGTTCACTAAATGACTCACCCTGAGCTCCTATCCAATCCAAAGGTATGATCTCATCAAATAGCTCTAGGAAACCATAATATATGCACCATTTACCCAAAGCCATGTTACAATAAAAGAGTCAAAGAGCATGTCATTCAAAATTTCTAATTTTTCTCTAAAATATATTGAAACTAATACAGCTCCAGTCCACTGAAGGTGGACTCCTCAATTTCTTGCTCTAACCTCTTAAATTAGAAAGCTCCCTTTTTATGTTAGACTTCGATTTTTTTTTTTTTTTTTTGGAGACAGAGTCTTGTTTTGTTGCCCAGGCTAGAGTGAGTGCCCTGGTGTCAGCCTAGCTCACAGCAACCTCAAACTCCTGGGCTCAAGCAATCCTGCTGCCTCAGCCTCCTGAGTAGCTGGGACTACAGGCATGCACCACCATGCCCGGCTAATTTTTTCTATATATATTAGTTGGCCAATTAATTTCTTTCTATTTTTAGTAGAGACGGGGTCTCGCTCTTGCTCAGGCTGGTTTTGAACTCCTGACCTCGAGCAATCCACCTGCCTCAGCCTCCCAGAGTGCTAGGATTACAGGCGTGAGCCACCATGCCCGGCCTAGACTTGGATTTTTAACAAAGGTATTCTATGTCTCTCCTATTTGACTTTCTAATGCTAACAAAAATAACTCAAGAGATTAAACCATCATGCCAATACATCTATAGCTAACAGCAAATATAGAGACTAGCCCACAATAATGTAAAATAATTAGCAATTGGTGACAATAAAAAAAAAAAAAAAAAAAAGGCCAGGCGCGGTGGCTCACACCTGTAATCCTAGCTCTCTGGGAGGCCGAGGCGGGCGGATTGCTCAAGGTCAGGAGTTCAAAACCAGCCTGAGCAAGAGCGAGACCCTGTCTCTACTATAAATAGAAAGAAATTAATTGGCCAACTGATATATATAAAAAATTAGCCGAGCATGGTGGCGCATGCCTGTAGTCCCAGCTACTCGGGAGGCTGAGGCAGGAGGATCGCTGGAGCCCAGGAGTTTGAGGTTGCTGTGAGCTAGGCTGACGCCACGGCACTCACTCTAGCCTGGACAACAAAGCGAGACTCTGTCTCAAAAAAAAAAAAAAAAAAAAAAAAAGAATACTGATTTTAATGTGAATACTCACCACTAAGGGAAAAGCAAGCAAGTAGAAAAATAAAATATCTTTTTCCTTTTCTTTTTAACTAAAGTTGTCTCTGTCTGGTTCTGGTCCCACAGCATCCAAATTCTAGCCCTAAAATTCCTAATAAACTTATTGCAAATCTGACTTACTTAATTTGCTTAGAAAAGACCTCAGGCACCATATCTAAGTAAAAGTGACACAATGTGATGCTCAATAGCTTATTTTCAAAAGCATATCCTATATTGTTTGGGCTACGTCTTTTAGGTGGGTCAAGTAGCTTATTAAATGTGCAAATAGGTAAAATTTTGTGACGATACTATAACCACAGTTTATAAAATTCAGATAAACACAGAAAAATAAAGGAAATCTAATTCTACTATAACACAATCAAAGCTAGCAAATGACATATTTCTATCCATTCTTTTTATATATATCAATTTTATTTACATAGCTGTAATAAAAGTTTATGTGAAATAATATATTTTACTTTTTCACTTAATACTTCTTAATGAGCCTTCTTCATGTGATTATACCATTTTCATAACCATCCTTTAAAATGACTGCATAATTTCATTCAGTATATATACAAAAGTTATTTAGCTAGTCTACTACCAAAACATAAAAGATATCCCCATTTTTTCATTACTAAAAAATGCTGTTTTAATAATATATACTGTTTATTAAGAATACTTAAGCCCAGAAATTATCCCAATAAACCTCTTAGCTAACTATGATTAGTATTTGCAACTTTTTGAATACTTACCAGACTAATATGCTTATTATATGAAGTGTACATGTGGGATGCCATCATCTCTACTGTAGTAAGTTTCTGTGGTTGAAGCAAGGAATTTAACCTGTCCACAATACTGATATCCAGTTCACAACATACTGGACTTAATTTAATTTGCAATTCTGCCTTCTGAGGAACTGAACTAAATCTTGCTTGAGTACCCTTAAAAAAAAAAGGGGGGGGACATTAATAAGATCACTAAAAATACTATGAAATTAGGTTAAAACCTTACAATTGTGACAACACATATCAAATGAAAATTTACAGGTGGTCCAGATAAATTGGATATGCTTTTAAAAAGGAAAAGAAAATTTACAGTTGGTAATTACAAAAACAGATCTCTTACCTGGGGTCCCCTATTCTCAGAATGCTTATAATGAAGCTGAAGACACACAGGGGGATGGGAATCAGTTCCTTCTTTGGAAAGGAACGTTAAAAGCTTAAAAATAAAGATGAACATAAATATAAGATTAGCCATAATTAATCACACAAATTAATAGAGGTGACAATATAATAGAGAAAAGAGATTTTTGAAGTCAGAAAAGCTGGCTTTAAATTTCATTTTTGTTACTTACTAGCAATGTGAATCTTAAGACAAGCTAGTTAACTTCTGTGATACTTTAGTATCTCATCTGCAAAACGTAGGTGAGGATTCAAATAAATAACACCCAAGAAAGTGCTTTAAATTAAAACATATATAAGGGCAAAGTACTAGTAACAAATGTTATTTTGACTGTTTTTAAATGTTTTTCTAGGTTGCTTTTCCTAATATAGGAAAGAAAATCAGATTAACAGTAAATGAACACAAGACATTTCACTTGTCTTGAAAAGTCCTTAGCAAACAGCAAGCATTCAGTAAGTATTAATATTTGTTCAATAAACAGAATTCTTCTGAAATGAAGAGTGTTATGAAAATGAGTGAAATGAAGTCATTTGTCTCATAACCTGTCTGCCACTCCTAAACAAGTCAACTCTACATTTAAAGTTCTAACAGATTCATAATGACCTCAAATGCCATACTTTAAAATCTGTTTCGACAGAACACAAATGCAAGAAAAAGACAATACTCCTCCTCTTATGACTTCCTATATATTTCTTCAGAAAACTGTTATTCATACAATTATTAAAAAGATAGACTTAAAGAATAATCCTAAAGGAAAAGTATCTAATATTTACCTCTGTATAGTGAGGAGGAATAGAATGAAAATCAGTTGGAAACAGGCACTCCAAAAACTCCATTTGCCCAATAGACATATCAGTACTGAAATATCGGGAGGCTGATCTTTGTCTTTGTTCATAGGACACTTTGATGCCAGTACCTATAAATCTATTATAAAAAATACAGCATTTTAGAGTATTCATACTTATAAATTAAACAATGTATCACAAGTAGAATATAGTAAACAGATGTTAACTATAACCATTATTCATCTGACAAGTTCAAATTGTTATCAATAACTAATATTCCTAAGGATATTAACCTGAAAGACTGCTTCAAATTTCCCATTCCCTGACATAAGATAAAGAAATCAGTTCTGTTGATAGGAAATTTTCCAGGATAAATTTATTTCCACATATTGCTGTTCCTGCTTCCACATTTTAAAATTTATACTGTGGTGGATAAAATCTTACAGATCTGTAAAATATTTGAAATAGCTTCTTAGAATTTTCTGAAAACATTATGCAATATTTTAAAAAACCTCAGTCAGCCAGGTTCAAATGAAGTCTACCTCTAGTTTCAGTGGCTTGAGTTATATTTTCTACTGGCAAATATTTGAAACCTTGGCAAAAATGGGAAGGAAAAAAACTTTTTGCAGTTTCATTATAAATACTATGGTCCTAACTTGCAGGGTTCTTTTACTAGGTGTCAAAACTACTTTGCATATCAATTTCAGTACTTCAAAAGCATTAAAAAGACAAAAGCTCAAAGTATTTTCTCAGTATCAGTATGTGCTAAACCATTGTATTAAATATCATTCAACAATTTATAGACCACTTTCATGTTAAAATAAAGAGTGTACATTAACAATACTGTACTTACAAATTCAATTATCTCCTCAACCCATGAAAGGATCACTATTAGGACAGTTTTGATTTTTTTTAAAGTAGAAGTTGAAAACATAGCATCCAATCTGAGAATCAGCCTTGGTATTATTTCCCACCCCATGGCCAGTGGCAAATGGATCATTTCCAAGTCACTCCTCATAGTTCATTCTACTCTCAGCACCACTGTCATCTCTGCTAATGCCAGTGATGGTAAGAACTGTTCTCATCACTGTATAGCATCAATAGGAATGATGGCAAAAAGTGGCCTCTGAAACTTGACAAGAGCAGGGCAGGGAGCTAAAGAGATAACTTAGAAAACTACAGATTATCTAGAATTTATACCTACATTGTTCTGCATACCAAATAACCTGACTGAGGGATTCTGCACTAAACATTTTTGCAGCATTGCAAGAAAACTTCACTCATTTCATTCATTTACAAATAAAATGTGAATTAGAAAAACAATTGTTAATAGGTAGGTAGATGGATACAAAAGTCCACATCTGGTTATTTTTCAAATATCATTAACAAATACAAGATAGTTTACCTAAGGTGATCGTGTGAGCAAGCTTCTGCAAATACTGCTCGGAAAGACTTAAAATCTTCTGTTGAAAATCTTGCTGGATCAATCTTTTCTATACAAGTAAAGAAAGTGATCGCCATAGGTGTCAATGGATTATGGTTCAGTGACGTTTCAGGTGGCGGCAGAGGATCAATGTGAAGCACAGAGATTGAAAAGGTTCCCACAGCTAGTCTAAAAATAAGTTCAGGCCTGGATTCATCCACTGAAACAGATCTAGATGGGAGAGCTAAAATACATGTGTTAAAATTATACACTTAAAATTTAATACTTAAAAACAATCTATATCAAAATTGTAATACATTTACTCATTTATTAGCTTTAGAAAACAATTATCCCATGAATTTGAAGATATTAAACAATTTAAGTAAAATAAAATAAGCTGTTATCTTGCTGTATCGTATATCCAGGATCTTTGATACTTGAAATACCAAACAATGTGTTATGATAATAAACATATGAACAAAGCTTTTCCATTAATAACACTGTATTGGAAAAGCCAACATTAATGAAAAGCTGCTCACCAAATTTTCCTTTAAGCCTGTGTCTATTTCAATTAAATAAAAGAAACACCTGAGGTTCTCTTTTGAGGAATACGTAAACAGTGAAACAAAAACCAGACAGTTGACTGAGACTCCTAAACTGCAATAACATGAAACTTATAGTACATGTTTTCACTAAAAATATTTATATATTTAAGTACACAAAGAATACAATGAATGAACAACTACTCTAAAACACTTCACAGTGAATTGTTTGACAATGTTTCATTTTCTTTCTAAACTTTGTTAAATGGCCTAGACAAAAAAAAAAAATTATGAAGGAAAAGAAAAGAAGTAGAACAGCATTTTTAGAGGGAAACAAAATTGAGGCTAGGCCTAGTGGTGTACACTGGTAGTCCTAGCTACTCAGATAACTGAGGCAGGGAATCGCTTGAGCCCAGAAGTTGGAGGCTGCAGTGAGCTATGATCGCACAACTGCACTCCAGCCTGGGCGACAGAGCAAGACCCTGTCTCGGAAAAAAAAAAAAGAAATAAAATTGTTTTTAATTTTTAAACTTAAAAAAATTCCAGGGAAACTAACAACAAATGTCTTACTTTACTTACCTGTTTTCTGTAAAGTTGCTGGGTGGACTAGATTAGATGGAAATGTTGACCCTCTTACTGGCTGTTCTTTATGGTGATCAAGGAAATCTCCCCAAGTTGGCTGAAGCTATAAAAGATTTTATTTTAAAGTACATAAGTAAGGTATAGAATTTTAGAAGCAACTTTTCAAGAATGGAAGAAAAATTAAATAATACTTTACCACAGTAGCACTTAGCGGAGATCCTGCTGGGGTATTTGTATATGTACTAGTTAATGATAACTCAAGGTCCATGTTTGGGGGGTCCCCCAGGGGTGGAAGAGAAGAGAGACTATGGGACATGTCCATATCAGCCATGGAGAAGAAAACTTCTTCTTCTAGAGAGAATTAAACTTTGTCACTTGTATTATATAAGTCTACCAATTCAAGTCTTAAAGTAAAATAGTGTATATTAATACAGTCTTCTTCCTTCAGCGTACATGAGATACAGTGATGCCCCATATTTCATGTTACTTCCAATGCGGTAATTTATTTGAATCCAAGACAGTAGCAACATAGTAAAAACTCAAATAAGTTAACAAAGCTATCCTACTAATGAATATGCTTTGTTTTAAAATTTAAAAATACATGACATGCAGTATTGCATGTTATATTTTTGAATGCCACATCACAGTTTAGGAGTTAAAATCCAGACTTTAAAATAGTATAAATATATTGCAACCTCTGGTTTCATATGAACACAGTTATCTCTTAAAAAAACAACAAGCCAAATACATTATTTAGAATTCTATTTATATTTCAGTTCCTTTTTTCTGGAGATTATAAATGAAAATGTAGTTTGTTATGGCCAATATTTCTTGAGAAGCTTCTAATTTTTATTTGTTTCAACATTCCATACTTAAATTGATTCTTATTTTTTATACTGTTAGTGCTTATACGTTCTGAAATACCTGTAAAGTAAAGTAAGCTGGGTAAAGAGTATATTTATACATAACTGATGGAAAGATTAGTAAAGAAAAGCTTCCTATTTAAAAGGATCTACTGGTCCAGGCACGGTGGCTCACACCTGTAATCCCAGCACTCTGGGAAGCCGAGGAGGGTGGATTGCTCAAGCTCAGGAGTTCGAAACCAGCCTGAGCAAGAGCAAGACCCCGTCTCTCCTATAAATAGAAAGAAATTAATTGGCCAGCTAATATATATAGAAAAAATTAGCCGGGCATGGTAGCACATGCCTGTAGTCCCAGCTACTCGGGAGGCTGAAGCAGCAGGATTGCTTGAGCCCAGGAGATTGAAGTTGCTGTGAGCTAGGCTGATGCCATGGCACTCACTCTAGCCTGGGCAACAAAGCGAGACTGTCTCAAAAAATAATTTTTTAAATAATCATAATAAAAAAAATAATAAAAGGACCTACTGGCCGAGCGCAGTGGCTCACGCCTGTAATCCCAACACTCTGGGAAGCCAAGGAGGGTGGATTGCTCGAGGTCAGGAGTTCGAAACCAGCCTGAGCAAGAGCAAGACCCCATCTCTACTATAAATAGAAAGAAATTAATTGGCCAACTAATATATACAGAAAAAATTAGCCGGGCATGGTGGCGCATGCCTGTAGTCCCAGCCACTCGGGAGGCTGAGGCAGTAGGATTGCTTGAGCCCAGGAGTTTGAGGTTGCTGTGAGCTAGGCTGATGCCATGGCACCTCACTCTAGCCTGGCCAACAAAGTGAGACCCTGTCTCAAAAAAAATAAAAATAAAAAAATAAAAGGATCTACTATAAATCATTATGTGAGCAAATACTTTCACAAAATAATTACTCCCAATTTAACTTTTCTATAAATTTATATTTTTGTAAATTGACTTTCCTTAGAAAAAATCATTTACAAAACTACACTATCAAAAAAAGGTACTACAGCACCTGTGTACTAGTACACCTCTATAATGCTGTGGTTTGATCAACTTATAAACTAAAACTTTCTTACAGTATAGATCTTTTTGTTCTTTCAATACTAAACTTCTTTCTACAGCAGCCAAAATTAAGTGTAATTTTTCTATGATGATAATATGAATCTGATACCAACTGAGTTGCTTACCACGACTAGAAGGTGTACGGGCTGCGTCTGTCTCATAAAAGCTTTGTTCTGAAGATACACCCCCAGAGAGAGAATCTTTTCTCAAATAATACCGGTTTAATTCCATCTGAATTCTATACTCGTCTTCCTGTTGCATTGGTCGATTTTTCCTGTCTTTATTAGCTAAGCCTATTTTGCTAGAATTTTCTAGAAGTATACAAAAGAAAGCAAAACAGTAATTAAATTTGGAGTTACTTAAGCATTTCTTTCCCAAAACACATTTATCCAATACCAATAGCAACTTAACACCAGTGCAAAACCACTGCTATTTAATGATTCAGAGATCTAAGCAATGGCTTTAAGTACCTAGCCAGGAAACACAAATCTTATCTCTGATAGATGTGTCATTAAAAATATTTTTAAATGTGTGCTACTTACTTTGTTCAAGAATTATACTTTCCCAGTTATACGAAGTACTAATCTCAACCACAGAAGTAAATCAGAACAATTTTGAAAAAGTTAAGAATATGACACAAATAATCTTAAATGCAAATTTGTGCCACAGTAACACAAAAGACCCAGTCAAATTTAACTATTCAGGACTTATTTACAATAGATTATTTTGACTTCACATATTCAAAAATAAATAGACTTTCCTATATGTATTTATATATTTTAATTTAAAAGTTTTTAAAAATTAAAAATAATTAACAGTTATACTTGCCTGGTCCAGCAATAGCTGCTAACATATCCAAAAGCAAGTGTACTTGTCTTGGTGACAGGAATAGATGAATAGCGTCTATCTGTCCATCAACATCCAACTTAAAAAAAAAAACAAAAACATTCAGGATGAATATTCTTTATAATCTCACCACCATAAATATCGGCATATTTTCATGCACTGAGATGACTAGATTCTTTACTCTTGGATTCTTTCACCTAAGATTCTCTCTACTAATTCACACAATCTAAAAGAAAAGACTTAAAGGTCACCAAATCGTTATCCTAAGGGGAAAAATCCACCTGAGAAATTCCATGTTTACAAGTCCACTGTCATACTTTTTGTCTAAGTCTTCTACGTATTTAAGGAAGCTGTAAGACAGTTTCTAAGAAAAAGTATTAAGGCAGCAGTAGTACAGCATTCACTGACATTTAAAAGACTAAGCCAAAAGCCAATAAAGTTAGCTTTCTTGAGTCTACCATGAATCACATTCTGTAGCAGAGCACATGAGGACCTTCTCTGCCAACAGTGTGCCTCTCCCAAACGTTCACTGTGTTCCACAAGGCCTGCTCTCCTGGGCATGGGAGTGGAAGCCACAGCAGAGATGTGGGTGGAAGATAGTGCTTATGTAGACTTCTCTTCTCTTGTTCAACTCTTTGCCCATTCCTCCTCCCCCCAGCCTTAATTACTTGCTGGTGCATGCCTGGGACATCAGCAGTCAGTAAGGAGCCCACAAAACAAGCAGTTCATGGGCAGAACAGGGGAAATAGCAGCTCCTAGAAATAAAACCTCCATTCCAATCACTTCCTGACTCCTATATACTGACAAAAGCAATTACTCTATTCCTTATACTACATTCCAAAAAGTTGAATAACCCTGCTTTACTTTTTATTTACCTTCTCTTATTTCTAATATGCTAGCACTGATTTCTATTATCTTTGTGCTATTTTATAATTGAAAAATAATTTAATTAATAAAACACATTTACATTTGGAAAACAGCTTCTTCCTTGGAAGAAAAATAAATTCCTTCTGATTCTAAAAACAAAAAATAAATTACATAGTGACTTTGAGAAACTTCCATGATCTAAAAACATAATACATTCTCTGATAATAATAATCATTATCACTTTTGTTTTTGAGCACTGGGGTTCCATGCTAATTGCTTTTATATATATTTCCTCTAATTCATATTAATGTTCTTGATTTACAGGTAAGGAAACAACTCAGAGATTAAGCGACTTGCACCAGGCCATGTAACAGATTCAGAGCTGGGTTTTAACCTAGGCTGACCTGGATGGAAAGCCCTCCCTCCTTCCCCTGTTCTGCCCATGAACTGCTTGTTTTGTGGGCTCCTTACTGACTGCTGATGTCCCAGGCATGCACCAGCAAGTAATTAAGGCTGGGGGGGAGGAAGAAAATGTGTTTCTGATTATATGCCAAATTTAAAAATTATTTTTTAATTTCTTATTATTGAAATCACAATCTCTGACCTTCATTAGAATAGACAATCAAGTGTCATTTCTAATTCATAGAAATTAAAATTTTCATAGAAATATTTCATTATTTATACATTCTGAGTTTGGCAAAGAACAAAGTACATATTAATTTCTTTTGGATTTCTTTCTATTTATAGTAGAAAAAAAAATTTCTTTTGGAAATATAAAAGAACACAACAACTAAAAAACAAATTTCAACTCAATGTAACATGGTAACTGAGACAAAACGTCTCTAAATTCAATACCAGCAGTCCCCTATTTTCGTATGAATGCATTCCTGAAAACATATGCTGAAATTGAATACATAAAACACCAGACTTACTACTGAAGGGAGTAATATTCTGAGACCTCAGGAAAAAATGGGGAAACATTTCATAACATTTTAATCCCATAGTTGTTAGACTTAGGTCTGGTGAATATCAGAAAGAGACTAAAGATATAACACTTTAAGTACCTCTAATTAATGGCATCTTTGTCTATGCTATAATAATGTTAGAAGATCTTCTTGTTTTTCAATGCTCAAAGCATGTTTCTCAGTGCTAATATGCAGAACTTTTGTTTTTCCATTTAGCACCATTTATATTAAATAAGAGCAAAATGTACTCAAATGCTCAAGTTATTACATAAAAATTACTGTATAGGAAAGGATGGTAATATCTCCAAATATTAAATGCTAGCTGGCAGACAATGCCACCATGCAATATTTCCAGATGTTCATTTGTCATCTAATAATCAGAGCACTAAAAGTAATATACATTTATACAAAAGTATAATGTTTTACTGTAAAAGACATTTACACAAATCTATACATAATGTGCAAAAGTTTGAGTTTACATTGATTGAAACATACAAACATTGTGGAGTATATATAATTAACCAAAACAGAACTATAAAAGTCATTGCTATGATTATTTCTTCCTACAGAAATTGCAAGTGCATTCCCCAAAGACACAGATGTCTTAGTTTCCCAAGGATGTTACCACAGCAGGGGATTCCCCATAGTGTTTACACACACTTTTGACTATCTGCTCCATTAACAATCTCACCGTGCTATTTTATGAAGAGGTTTAAGACCCTGTGAAAGGATTTTGTACCATCTGAAGAAGGATAGGGCACTAAACAAAGGGAGAGGGGAGTAATCAATCAGTAATAGGAAAGTCTTCATTCCAATCATCACTTTCCTCCTCCTCCTCCAACTCTTGTCAAGTGTTCCAATCCAAGAAAAGGTTTCTGGGGATTCTTCAATCCTCTGAAAATCTTTTTATGTATATTCACATGTATTTACTGGCTCCCTTTTCCATGTTCCCATAGCAGTGTCCATATCCATTATCACATCTTTTACTAAGGCAAAGATTGTATTCCATTCATCTTTGCATCTGTCCTAAGAACTTCCACAGGGCCTAGCATACAGTAGTCACTAGAACATCTACAACTAGGTAGATCAGTGAATAAATAAATCCTGGTATCTTCTTAAACTACATTTTATATAGATTACATAGAAAACTCGTTTCCAAAGTCTGAAAATAATGCTTGACAAATACATTTTTAACTGACTAAATAAATTCAAGTTTCCTGGTTCTCCAAAAGATTGATATTGTTCCCTAAGAAACAGATACAGTTGTTTTAATATACTGTCTTCAAAAAAAATGGAAAAGTCAATCTCTTTTCACAACTATATAAAAATGAGTTATTCTCCTCAAAATAGATGGGTAGATATTTTTACATATATAACTAAACATCTTCTATAGTAAACTTCTTCCTTTCCAAATCTGTTTTCCTTTAAACTTCTTAAGTTTATGATGATAGAAAAAGACTATTTAATACCTTCCTAGTTATCTGAACCAATAACACCATGCCTAATAGAAAAAGGAGGGGTATTTTGTTTCTGAATTTTTAAGACAGGGGAGAACAAATGTAAGAGACAGCGATTTATAAAAGCTGAGTTGCAGCAATGGGACAAAGGCAGTCCTTACATAAATTTTGTGACTTAAGGACAGAGGCACCAACTTACAGTAAAAATGCTAAGTCTGAGTGGATTAACAAAATATGGTATATGTATACCATGGAGTACTATTCAGCCATAAAAAATGAAGAATTAATGCCTTTTGCAGCAATTTGGATGGAAAAGGAGACCATTCTCCTAAGTGAAGTATCTCAAGAATGGAAAAACAAACACCACGTGTACTCTCTAATAAATTAGACCCAGATGGGCACACATGTACACAGAGGGAAGTCATTATACAAGTCACTGGAAATGAAGCAGGTGGAGGGGGGAAGAGCAGAGGGACAAAACCTACCTAATTGGTACAATGAACACTATTTAGGTGATGGTCATACTTATAGCCCTGTCTCAAGCACTCCAAAAACTATCAATATAACAAAACATTTGTACCCCCTCAATATTTTGAAATAAAAGAAAATACTAACTCTGAGATAGCAGGTACCTTAGTTCAGCAGTCCCCAACCTTTTTGGCGCCAGAGACCAGTTTCATGGAAGATAATTTTTCCATGGACGTGGGGGTGGGGAAATGGTTTTGGAATGATTCAAGCACATTACATTTACTGTGTAGTCAAACCTCTCTGTGGGCCGGGCACGGTGGCTCACGCCTGTAATCCTAGCACTCTGGGAGGCTGAGGTGGGAGGATTCCTCAAGCTCAGGAGTTTGAGACCAGCCTGAACAAGAATGAGACCTGGTCTATACTAAAAAAATAAAAAAAATTAGCCAGGCACAGTGGCATGTACCTGTAGTCCAGCTACTCAGGACGCTAAGGCAGGAGGATCTCTTGAACCCAAGAGTTTGAGGCTTCAGTGAGCTATGATGACACCACTGCACTCTATCCATCACAACAGAGTAAGACTGTGTGTCAAAAAACAAAAACAAAAAACCAAACCTCTCTGCTAATGAGAATCTATATTTGCAGCCACTTCCCAGCACTAGCATCACCGTCTCAGCTCCTCCTCAGATCATCAGGCATCAGAGTCTCATAAGCACCACCCAGATCCCTCGCATGTAGAGTTTACAGTAGGGTCCCTGCTCCCATGAGAATCTAGTGCCTCTGCTGATCTGACAGAAGGCGGAGCTTATACTGGGATGCCAGGGATGGGAAGTGGCTGTAAATACAGATGAAGTTTCATTCACGCACAAGGCACTCACCTCCTGCTGTTCGGCTGGTTTCTAACAGACCATGGACAGGTACCAGTCTGCAGCCTGGGGGTTGGGGACTGCAGCCTTAGTTACAGGAAAATCTATAGTAATCAGTCAGTGGGTCACTGTGTACAGATTAAAGAATATATGTACTTTTATTTTGGTTTTTTGCTGTAGAAAATAAAACAAACACTAACCTTAGCTCCAGGAAGTACTTCGTTCTGTTTAAACGTGAGACTCAACTCCAACCTACCAATTAACCCTCCAATTTGCACTGGGTCAGAGGGTGCAACCTCTGGTAAATTTCTAGTTAGTTGTGGGTGTGGCTCATAAATAATTTTGGGGTTCCAGCTAGGTGACAGCTTTGGCTCAGTTTCCTACAACAATGCAATAAAAATAAATTATTTAAAATATTTTAGTTGAAATGTAAAATATAAATGTCAACTTAAGAACAAAATATTTGACACATAAAACCATATTATATATATTATGTTACAATGGATAAACCAGTATCGTATAGCTAAAATGAAACACAATAACATGTTAGTATACTAAGTTGTTAATTAAGGCAAATCATGAAAAAGGACTTTACTTAAAAGGAACAATATCTGTTCAAGTTATGGCAATAAGAAAATCTAATAGACACTGTATAATTTTTAAAACCTGATTTATTAAATAACATAAAAGATAAATTATGGAATGACTGATTTGTAAAAGAGCACTGCTTTTGGAAGGAAGCAACAAAGTCCCTTAATTATAAAGCTTTTTTAAAATATGATTTGTAAGATAAAGTTTCAGCAATACATTTATTACGTAAGGTAAATATGAACACTGCTTGATTTCCTGTTTTTGTTATAAAATGATATTAGATGTTAATACAGGCTGAGCATCCTGAATCCAAAACGCTCCAAAATCCAAAACTTTTTGAGCACCAAAATGACACCACAAGTGGAACATTGCACACCTGACCTCACGCGACGGGTGGTAGCCAAAACGCAATCAAACTTTGCCTCATGCACAAAATTATTCAAAATATTGTATAAAATTAAGTTCAGGCTATGTGAATAAAGTATACATGAAACAGAAATGAATTTTGTGTTTAAACTTGGGTCCCATGCCTAAGATACCTCATTATGTATATGACAATATTCAAAAATCCAAAAATTCTGAATTCCAAAATACTCTGCTCCCAGCCATTTCAGATAAGGAATACTCAACCTGTATATCATTTTCCCCCCAAGACACAGTATCTAACATTTCTCTATCAAATTAATATACCACACAATGATAGGAAATGTATTATTTATAAATATGAGTACTCTGAAATATATATCCCCATTATTGAATATTTGTGCTAGCCCCCAAAATAGATAAAGACTCATTAACACATATATCCTAGCAAAATTTAATAGCCCCCATTTAAACCTTTTCAAAAATCCATGATTATGTTTTTGGGTTTTTTGTTTTGTTTTTCTTACCACTGGTGCAGTTGAACACACTGGGGAAGATTTTGCTGATGCAGAAAATTCATCCCAAAAGAGAGACACTCCAGAGAGCTGAAGTAACTTGTGAGCAAAAGCTGTGGGTTGATGTACATTAATTCCTGAGGATTCATCAGCAGTTTCGTCACAGTATACAGTTCTGAAATTTAAAAACAAGAAGAACATTTACACAAAGCTTCTAGAAAAATCAGTTTGCAATAAGAAAATGTTCACAACTTTTTAAAGTTAAGGTGGTTTTCAAGTGCTAGCACTTCTAGAATATGCCTGTAATGTGGTCAGCAGCATTATGCTTTACTGCAGTTAAGTATTTTCATGAACAGAACTTAACAACAAGAAAGATAACTTCATGAGGCTTAAATTTGGGGGGAAATTAATAACTTCCTAAAGTTAGCTTCAAGGAAAACAATTCCTGCACTCCCCCACAAAACATCTCTTGGTAGCAGTAAGACAGCATTTGGCTCCAAGTCACAAGCCTGACATGAATGACATTTAATTCTCATGTGTAACTAATCTTAAATTTAAACAAAATACAGAATATGGTTCTTGGACACAGATCTATAGATATTGAGGGGAAAAAAAGGTGTTTCTAAATGCATGAGATTTGAGATACTTTTTAAATATACCGTTTAAGGTAATATACTCTAATTCAAAGATCTGGGCCGGGCGTGGTGGCTCACGCCTGTAATCCTAGCACTTTGGGAGGATGAGGTGGGGGGATTGCTCGAGGTCAGGAGTTCGAAACCAGTCTGAGCAAGAGCAAGACCCTGTCTCTACTATAAATAGAAAGAAATTAATTGGCCAACTAATATATACAGAAAAAATTAGCCGGGCATGGTGGCACATGCCTGTAGTCCCAGCTATTCGGGAGGCTGAGGCAGAAGGATTGCTTGAGTGCAGGAGTTTGAGGTTGCTGTGAGCTAGGCTGATGCCATGGCACTCACTATAGCCTGGGCAACAAAGCCTCTGTCTCAAAAAAAAAAAAAAAAAACCCCCCCACAAAGATCTGTTAATAATAACTGTTTCACTAATAGGTGTGTTTTGTGAAAGACAGAACTATAACATGTCTGCTTAAAATTCGGTAAAGGCCCCCAGTAGATATATACACAAAGTGTCTTTGGTGCTCAGTGTGCATACTTCATCTTGCTCATTTCTGTTGGCAGTCCATGCAGCATTAAGACACAAGTGAACAGGTGATACCTCAAATCAACACTCAGGTGTGTATATGTAAATTAATCCCTGTTTTTAGAAATTATTGATAGGGGCTCCAGGTGGGCATACAAAGAAAACCAAAAGCAATGGGTTTGTATCTTTTTAAGTAAATCACTATTACACATATTGATTTTAAAAGAATCCTCTCAGAATCCTCAAAAGAAACAGTGGCCTTAGCCTTTCTCACTAAAGCAGCTTTTAGATTAAGCAGGGCAAAAGTCTTTGATATTAAATGGAACATGCCTAAATATTGCATTGTTCATGTGAAAAAGCAGACACTCTTCCACAGGAGTGCCTTAAATTTAGCAGCAACCAAATACTTATTATTTTGATTTGATGGTAACTAAAAGAGAATCAAATACTTGTTATTTTGATTTGATGGTAACTAAAAGAGAATTACTTGCTTCAAATTCAACACAGAATTATATATAATTATATACCAACTGTACTTTAAGTTATGAATAATGTAATTAGAACATAACTTGGACAGCAACACTTTACTCTGAAATTATGCAATATTTTAATTTAATATCATCACCTCTAATCTCACAAAGGCACCCCAAAATTTAATGTGAGAGTTACAATAGGGTCATTTGTTTCCAGGTGTAAGAATTCTTACCTTTCTATTCGAATTTCAAGTGCAGTTCCAGTTTTGGAATTTTCTGGCACATGTTCAATTCTCAAAACAGTGTCTATAAAAGTTACCTTTACTCTTCTTAGTACTAGAGTAAACAAGTAATTGTCAATGTAAAGGACCATATTTACACTAAAGAAAACTAAATAAAAACTGCCAACGAAAGGAATATTAGTTTGATAAGAATTTACAAAACAAAGAAACTGAATTTCTTTCCTTTCAAATCCCCAAATCCTAGATTTTATAATAAATATTTTGCCTTACTATTTACCCATGTTACATCTCAACAGATACTTGGGACAATGACTAACACTAAGATTCTAATCCTTTTATTATGCAAGAATAATAAAATAAGCAAAGTAGAAACTAAGGTACAAAAGAAATAACAAGCAATTAAATACAATATTTTAAATAATTTTAATTCTGAAGTGAGAACAGTAATTCTTTTAAAAAAGCACTCCTTTATATGCATCTAATTTCTGGCCTTGGGTAAAAAAAGATTTAAAAAAAGGAAATAAAAAAAATACTCCAGTGGATTTGCCATATACAAGGTTTATTAAATAAAGGTACTAAATTATTAAAGAAAATCTAAAACTTTGAAAATGCTTAATAATGCCAAACCTGTTTCAATGGTTTCAGCAAACTTTTCAAGTCCTTCAAAAGGCTGGGTTCCTTCTCCTTGTTCATCTGTTAGTTTCTGGCTAAGACATTCTTTTGCCAACTGCATACTGCTAGTCATAAAACTTGACCAATACATAGGCTCCGAACCAGTTGCTGCAGAAAGTATAAATTAACCCTAAACAATTTCTCAGAGTTACAACAATGCTATTTCTTAAACTACCATATTTCAAATACATAAATTCTTAATTCCCATGAGAATCTTAGCATCATTTTGTTACCACCTAGGCAAACAACATTCTCGAAATTACTCTTGAGATTTAAATATTTCCTTATAATTGAGAAGGAAAAAAAAACAAATCACAGAAAAAAGTCCGGATACATGTGTTCTCACGACGTTACATTTTTACCAAATATTAATTCATGTATTCATTCAACAATTTTTTTTTTTGGAGACAGAGTCTCACTCTGTTGCCCCAGCTAGAGTGCCGTGGCATCAGTCTAGCTCACAGCAACCTCAAACTCCTGGGCTCAGGCGATCCTCCTGCCTCAGCCTATTGAGTAGCTGGGACTACAGGTGTGTGCCACCATACCCGGCTAATTTACACACACACACACACACACACACACACACACACACACAGAAAAATAATTATGAATTCTGCCCTCAGAGAACCTACAATATAGTGGTAGAAGTAAGATATGATTAAGAAGAATTAGTAGGCAACTACTGAGCTTTCTTACCATTGTGAAAGCTAAGATAAGAGGTTAATTCTTCTAGCTGAGCGAATTAACAAGAAATCTAGCAGATATACCAGATGATCTGGGCTTTGGAAATTAGTATAAATGTAGATAAAATAGAAGAGCATCCTTGGAAGATGAAACACATGAACTATGAAAAATCATTTCCAGATTTTTCCTCATGAGAAAATTCTACCACACCTCCTTATTCAAAACAATTGACAGAGATTACTAGAATCATTGCCTTCCAAAATGGAATTGAAAAACTCTTCTAATGGGATATTTTAAAAGGGAAAAATATTTAAAAGTGTGACTTTCTATAAGGAAGTATTATATCTACTCATCATGGTTAAAATATAGAATATTCTTAAAAATCAAATACCAGATTATTAGAAAGGATTCCCATGCATGTATTATCAATTTTCAAAGTATAGGTCACGGTAATTCTACTAAGCATAAATTAAACTCTAGTGGTTTAGGCAGCACTTGGGATTATAATTCTATCATTTCATACCAATATACCCCTCATCTAGATTTATCAATTCTATCATCTTTTCTACATTTATAAGTAGGTATTATACTATAAGGAAAAGCAGTCCTTCTCCCTGTCCACCTCACATTTTTATTTGTGTCAGTGTGTACTTAGGGATTTCTTTTTATTTAATGTATTATAATCCATTATTGTCATTATTCTTTTTAATACTCAAGTTGTCCCAGATTTGGCCAATTCTGTGTCCTTTTAACATTTCTCCATCAATCTTTGAGCACCCTTTTTCGCTTTCTGACACAATACTTTAATCTTTAAAACACAAATCTTGAAAACACAAATCACTGTACATTATTGGTAACAAATAATTACATAAACCAAATCATCTCTTTTACTAAAGTTTCTATGAATAAATTGGGGAACAAGCAACTCTAAAGATATTATTATACCCTATATAGAGCCAAGTCCTACTGTTTTATCAACTGAAAATCTTACAAACTAATGAATCAAACACTGAATTTAACACAATAAGGTTACTTTTCTAATCTCTAAAGGATAAAAATAGAAACAAATAGAACAGAAATATATAACACACATACCTAGGCGAGGCCTTGGTCGAAAGACCATTTCTAACCCCTTCACTTCCAGTGCACAATTATCCTGTAGCAAGGAGCCCCATGGAACTGACAAAGAAATAGACTGAATGAATCCTTCAGTGACTTCTAAAGGTGCATCTGCTGACTCCAGGATTTCATTGAGACACTAAAGAGAAGAAAAACCAAGTTAATTTTGAAATCACAAGAACACAAAATTGTTAACTTAAAGATGTCAAATATGCCCACACATGTCAGGCACTAGAGATAAAAAAAAAAAAAAAAAAGCAGAGGCCAAGATAAAGATGACTCCTAGTCATCACTAAGCTTATAAGATAATATGCCATGAAAGAGATGCGTAATTAAAGTGCGATGAGTTGTATGACAGAGGACATACACTGTGCCATCTGAGTACATAACAGAACCTATCCTGGAGATTCAAGGCAGGCCACCTGAGGGAGTACAATTTTAAACTGTGATCAGAAGACTGAGAAGGAGTTAACCAAGTAAAGTGGTTCAGGCATAGACAATAGCACGTGAAAGGATTCAAAGAAAGCAGAAGTCAAAGAAGTACAAGTGCACAAATCTGCTACACAGAGTATTTGGGAGGGAAAAAAGTTCCTTTAAGCTTTAGCGTGCCAGGGCAAAGAGCCAAAGATAAGGGAGAGAATGATCCAAAGAGCCTTGTAATATATGTTAAAGAGTCTGAAATTTATCTCAAGGGCAACCTGAAGCCATTGAAGGATTTAAGCAAGGATGCCATGATAGGATTCAAACTTTCAGTGGATCCTCTTGCTGCCATGTACAGCATGAATTGAAGCAAAGCAAAACACAGGCGGAAAGACTGTTATGAGTAGCAGAAGCTAGAAAAATTGGTTCAGCAACAGCAACGCTGAGGACAGTTAGAAGTGGATGGAATTTTGTAATGTATTTAGGAAGTATGAGAATTAATCGGCATGATGAGGTGTAAAAAGCAGGAATTAAGAATGACACTCAGGATGACGGCATGGGCAACTGCTTAGATAGAGGTCCCACTTACTGAGACACAGAAACCTAGGGAAGCAGATTAGGGGGAAGACGAGGAGTTAAATTCCAAAGCACATTTAAGGAGACATCTAGGTGGAGGTGTCAAGGACATAGCTACATTTTCTGGTCTAGAGCACAGGAGAGCCATCTGGGCTGGAGATGCAGATGGGCATTATAACCTTAGAGGGTAACTGAAGCCACAGGGTGAGGAGAGATGCCTTTGGGAACTTACATAGGATAAAATGATAGGAGGCCTAAGACAGAACTCTAAGAAACACTAACATTTAAGAAATGGGTTAAGAAAGAGGACCCTGCAAACAAAACTACAAAAAAAAGAACAAGCTGAGATAGAAGGAAAATCAAAAGAACTTCATGTCCCAGAAAACTGTGGAAAGACAATATGTGCTTTTCTGGGTGGTTAATTGCAACAAAAGCTAACAAGAACCCAAAGATTTTTAAATGTCCACTGGATTCAGTGATATTAAAGCCTTAGTGATCCCACTGAAAGCAATTTCAGTGGTGTGGCAGTGCAAACAAGACTGTAACAGAAACAAGATGAATGAATGCAAATGCAATTAGCAGAACAATTCAATGCAAATTTTTTACAACTGTACTTTTTAAATTAAAATAACAAATATTTATTCAATGCCAGCTTATATGTAAGGTACATCCTGCATGCTATGTTGCATAGGAGAGTATTATATTTCTTTGTCTACACCCTAATGTTAAAGTGAGATTTGGATTGGCTCAGCACTTATTTTTGATCACTAGTTTATTAAAAGGCTTTCAAGTTGGGTTTTGTGTAATCCTAAAGACTTTCCAAGGAGTACATGGGCATCAGCAGTTTTAAGGTATAAACATCCTTAAGCTCCAAATAATTCTTTAGCTCCAAATAATTCTTTCCTAAAATTGACCGAGAAGAGCATGTACAATGGTGGCATCACATAGGGTCTCCTGTATCTCACAGTCCTTCGTACATTCTTCCTTCTCCCACTTAGCCAAAAAAGCTGTATGTTTCTCCTTTCCTAAATCCTCTCTTATTGTAGTGTCTAAGGTATATAAACTTCCAGACAGGACCAGTAGTACATTTTCTGTCCTTTCCCTATCTTACACATTTTGGGAGGCATGACACTCAAAGAAATTCAAAGAACTAAGTGATACTGCTACTGCAAAATCCCTCAATTCTCATCTACTTATTTATGACATCAGTATTTCTCAAGCTTGTATCTATTTTCAAAATTTAGAATAAAATTTATGCTGAGCCCTGTTGAATTCTAGCTGTAAGTATATTCACCTACGGATGCATTAACTAATTAGGGAGGAGGGAAACACAACCCATCCATATTGTTAAGAAATGTATTTCGGGAGGAGGGGGGCAAAGGACATTTATTGAAACCTTAAAATCTGTACCCCCATAATATGCCAAAAGAAAAAAAAGAAAAAAAAAGAAATGTATTTCCAATAAAATTTTTATATTTAATTATCAAAATGTAGGTTTATATTGTTTAGATCAACTGCGCACTTACAATAATTGTAATTACAAAACAACCCAGAGGGAAAATCTTAACACTTAAACTCTAAAGATTATCTGAAGGAGATACAGTCAAATGCCATATAACAATATTTGGTCAATGACAGACCACCTATAGGACAGTGGTACTATAAGATTATAATGGAGCTGAAAAATCATCAGCTCCACTATCATCTAGTGACATTGTAGCCATCATGATCTCTTAGCACAACAAATTACTGTTTGTGGTGATGGTGGTATAAACAAACCTACTGCACTGCCAGTCAAATAAAAGTATAGCACATACAATTATTTACAGTACATAATACTTGATGATAATAAATGTTACTGATTTATGTATTTACTATACTTTCATCATTATTTTAGAGTGTACTCCTTCTACTTATATTAAAAGAAGTTAACTGTAAAACAGCCCAGGCAAGTCCTTCAGGAAGTATCCAGAAGAAGCCACTGACAGCATAGGAGATAACAGTTCCTGCGTGTTACTGCCCCTAAAGACCTTACAGTGGGACAAGATGTGATGGTGGAAGACAGTGATTGATGATCCTGACCCTGTGCAGGCAGGCCTAGGCTAATATGTGTGTGTGTGTGTGTGTGTGTGTGTGTGTGTGTGTGTGTGTGTGTGTCTCAGGTTTTCACACACAAAAAAAACACCTTAAAATGTAAAAAATTAAAGATTTTAAAAATAGAAGAAAGTTTATAGAATAAGGATATAAAGAAAATATTTATGTACAGCTGTACAGTGTGCTGTAAGCTATACTTAGTACTCTATTACAAAAGAATAAAAGTTTTTAAAATGTAAACATTTATAAATTTTAAGTTACAGTAAATAAGATTTATTATGGAAGAAAAATATTTTTTATAAATGTAGTACAGCCTAAGTATATAGTTTATAAAGTCTATAATAGTATACAGTAAGGTCCTAGACCTTCACATTCATTCACTGCTCACTAACTGACTCACCCAGAGCAACTTCCAGTCCTATAACCTACATTCATGATAAGTGCCCTATACAGGTATGTAACTTTTTAAATCTTTAATATATTTTTACTCTACCTTTTCTATGTTTAGATACATAAATACCATTGTGTAATAATTGCCTACAGTATTCAGTACAGTAATTTGCTGTACAACTGTATAGCCTAGGAGTACCGTAGGCTATATCATCTAAGTTTGAATAAGTGCACTCTATGATGTTCTTACAGCTAAATGGCATAATGAAGCATTTCTAAGAATGTATCCCCTTTGTTCAGCAGTAGCATGACTGTACTGATTAGGTAAATATGGTGCGCCGTAGAGCAACCATTAAGAAAATAACTTGGCTGGGCACGATGGCTCACAACTATAATCCTAGCACTCTGGGAGGCAAAGGCAGGCTGAATGCTCAAGGTCAGGAGTTCGAAACCAGCCTGAACAAGGGAGAGACCCTGTCTCTACTAAAAATAGAAAGAAATTAATTGGCCAACTAAAAATATACAGAAAAAATTAGCTGGGCATGGTGGCGAGTGTCTGTAGTCCCAGCTACCTGGGAGGCTGAGGCAGTAGGATTGCTTGAGCCCAGGAGTTTGAGGTTGCTGTGAGCTAGGCTGACGCCACAGCACTCTAGCTTGGGCAACAAAGTGAGACTCTGTGTCCAAAAAAAAAAAAAAAGAAGGAAGGAAGGAAGGAAAGAAAGAAGGAGAGGGAGGGAGGGAGGGAGGGAGGGAGGGAGGGAGGGAGGGAGGGAGGGAGGGAGGAAGGAAGGAGGAAGGAAGGAAGGAAGGAAGGAAGGAAGGAAGGAAGGAAGGAAGGAAGGAAGGAAGGAAGGAAGGAAGGAAATAACTTAAGGCCAGGCACCTGCCTCAGGACTATAATCCTAGCGTCCTGGGAGGCCAAAGTGGAAAGATTACTTGAGCTCAGGAGTTCGAGACCAGCCTGAGCAAGAAGGAGATCCCTGTCTATACTAAAAATATAAAAATTAGCCAGGTGTTGAGGCATGCACCTATAGTCCCAGCTACTTGGGAGGCTGAGGGAGGAGGATCCTCGAGCACCCAGGAGTTTTGAGGTTGCTGCACGCTAGGCTGATGCCACAGCATTCTATTCAGGGCAACGGAGTAACAGCCTGTCTCAAATAAATAAATAATAAAATGAAAAAAAAAAAAAAAGAAAATAACTTAAAAAAATACTGAACTAGGAAAGGAACGGAAATGTTATACTAAAAAATATTCACAGCCAGGCATGGTGGCTTACGCCTGTGAGCAATCCTAGCACTCTGGGAGGCCAAGGTGGGCCAAGGTCAGGAGTTCGAAACCAGCCTGAGCAAAAGCGAGAACCCGTCTCTACTATAAATAGAAAGAAATTAATTGGCCAACTAAAAATATATATATAAAAAATTAGCCAGGCATGGTGGTGCATGCCTGTAGTCCCAGCTACCTGGGAGGCTGAGGCAGTAGGATTGCTTGAGTCCAGGAGTTTGAGGTTGCTGTGAGCTAGGCTGACGCCATGGCACTCACTCTAGCCTGCGCAATAAAGCGGGACTCTCAAAAAAAAAAATATATATATATATACATATATATATTCACTTAATGCAAAAGAAAGCCTAATGGCAATAGGAAAATGTTTAAAATGATCAA